CAGTGTTGCCGAGCGGTTTAAAACTCAGATACAGCTGCGTATCATCTGCGAAACAGTGAGAATCGGGAAGATAATGTTCCACGATCTTAAACAGCTTGGACGCATATATTATGAATAGCAAAGGCCCTAAACATGAGCCTTGGGGTACCCCTCATTTCAAGTCAAAAGGACGAGAAACAACTCTATGTACAGAAAAGCGCTGACTTCTATCAGACAAGCACGATCTAAACCAATTCAGAGCAGTCCCACGTATGCCAACCTCGTCAGATTGCCTCTCTAAAAGTATTCGATGATTAACGGTGTCAAAGGCAGCACTGAGATTAAATAAAATTAACGTAGTGACATGTTGAGAGTTCATCTTTGACAAAATATCGTTCATCACCTTGATAAGTGTAGTTTCAGTGCTATGGAATTGCCTGTAAGAAGATTGAAGTACAGGAAAAATAGCATTTGAAACCAGGTGATCGTAAAGTTGATTAAAAACGACTTTTTCAGTCAACTTGGATACGTATTGTAAGTTACTAACTGTTCTGTAATTTTTGTACAGCAAATCCAGTCCAGGTTTCTTCAAGATAGGATTAATAAGCCCACATTTCCAATCATCCGCAAATTCTCCAGAATTAAGAGACAAGTTGATCATTTTAGTAATGACTGGTAATAGCACATCAGCACAGCTGATTACCACAGGTGTTGTCATCGGATGAAACATACAGCTCTTCTTCGGAGAGCAGCCAATCAACTTACTAACTGCACTTTCAGTTAAAGGGATAAAGCTGTCCACTGTTCTAATTGGTAACGTTTTCACATAGTCAAAATGGGAATCATGCAAACAATCAGCTAGTCTGTCCAATTTGACATGGACGGCGTCAATCTTTTCAACAAAGAAGCTACCCATTTCATTGGCTGAAACCAGCTTGTCACTAGTTGGTGGAAAAGGTACTTCATGACCTTGATTTAGCAACCTCTTTGTTGCCGAGAATAGGTTCCTTTGATTGGAGTTATTTTCAACAAAAAAGTCTGAGTAAAACTTACGACGGGCTTCATTCATCAGATAGGTTGTAAAGTTCCTCTTCTTTTTAAATTCAAGCAAATCACGGACACTTCGAGATCGACGCCATTTTCTTTCCGCTCCCCGTCTTTCCCTCTTTGACTCCCTAATATCTTCACTAAATCAAGGCACCAAAGGCCTCACTGTGATAAACTTTGTGACAAGTGGAGCATGACGATCACGAGCCGCAGATAATGTAGAATTATAACATTTAACAAGATCATTCAGAGTATCGGGGCTTTCTGTACAAAGCGAAGTTGAAGAGAGTTCATCGCATAACTGGTTAACGTCAACCACCTTAGTCTTCCTGAAAGAGAGATTTTTCTTCCGGAGCGGTAGCTTGTCCAGGGTTAGATCACAGATCAAAGTAGAGTGATCAGAAAGCAGACAGTCAGTCACAGGGATGTTAGCCAGGAGTCGCACTGTCGAGTAATGATCAAATCCAGGGTGTGTCCTGACTCGTTCGTTGGCTCGTTCACATGTTGTTGAAGGCCCATTGACTCAAGCAGTTCCTTTAAACAAACACTGTCTGTGTTCCCCGGAGCGTCTACATGGATATTAAAATCACCTGCTATCAGTAACGGTACAGATGACATTATGATACTCTCCAAAAAACTCGAAAAATCAGCAAAGAATACACTCGTCGTGACAGGATGGTTACTATAGAATAGGGTGGACGGTGAATAATAATAGTCTGTAGTTTTCGCGACTGAAACTCGACCATCCAATGAGAAAACTCAAAAGAAGTACGCTCACCAGCATCTAGACGAACTGCATGTAGATTTTCTCGTATCAATAGAGCAGTTCCGCCACCAGATCGATCAGATATTGTGTGATCAAACAGCTTGTACCCGCTCCAGATGATTCATCGTAGGAAACCATGTCCGCCGATTTGTTTCTCACAGACCTGGCATTCAAACTACAGAATTTTAAATAGCGTCCAACACGAAAACGTTGTTCAGGAACAATAGGAACCAAAACAGATGTGCGAGAAGTGGTTCTATCACGGCAAGTAGTATGACTTATGCGATCAGAAATACGTACAGATATCTTCCGTCGGCCAGCTCGACATCCTCTAAACCTCAGAAGTTATTAACGTATTCGCCTTTATTACTCAGATCGTTAATGCCGTTTACCCGAGTATACGATGGATTCATAGCCAAATCCGCTATCACAGTCACCAGGAATACGCCCGCTTTCATCAACAAACCTTCCGGCTCTGCACTTTATTACTGGCTCAGGAGGCGAGGCCAGGGGGACTGTAATACAGCTGTTGAGTAGCTTTTTTTAAAAAAACAGCACTTTACCATCCCGCAGCAACATAAGCACATAAGCAAGGTGAAAGGAAAATCAGATTATTAATTCTCTGGAAACTTCTTCTTCCCCTCCACCACCCTCTTAGTTTTCTGTTTTTTCTCAACTGTGCACTCGATTATTCTAAGAAATAGCGTGACTTTGCACATTCCTAACTAAAAACACTTTGTGGTGTTTTGTAGCTGACTCTTTTCATGAGCTAAAATTCACTGTTCTGCAAGGCGGCGAATCATCTCAAATTGATCCTTTAACTGAGAAGACAATCGCTGTGATGATGACTTAACTGGTCGCTGCTGAGCGAATAATCACGAGAACTACAAATCACTCCCTGTTTCGTAAGGGTAAAGGACGTCTGACAACCCTGTGGAATACACAGGTAGGTTTCTCTTCCTGTTTTTCAATTTTCCTTCATTACATATATTTTGAGAGTTTCTTTTTACTAAAGAATGTATGAAAACGTTTTGCTAGAAGACATTAAAGGGCGCTTGGAAGTGACATTAGCTACAACCTGGGCAACGGTCGCGTGATTTCGTAGCGCGTTACACCAGCTGACGTGCAACGCAACAAGACACTCGTTTTTCACCCCGATACTTTTCAAGCGAAACCAAAAGAACATTTTACCCGAGTTTTGATGACACTAGTAATCAGTGATGTGATGCAGCTTTCAGTTTCGTTCGATTATAAGGTATTTCCGTCTCTGAATACATCTCTTCTGAAGCATTTTGTATTACGAGTCGATGGTAATTGAAACTCTATCCATCTCATGATTAACGGAGCTCCTACAAAGTTTTTCTTCGTGCTTTTTCAATTTCGGTTTCGACTTCCTTACGTGTTATATAAGAAGCCTCAAATCACACTTTCGTTTCTTGGAAGGGTAAAATCTATCAATTGTAAAATAGTGAATAATGCATATCATGCGTAGATTATGGGATTTTTTTTTCGAGTGGTTTACTCGACAAACTCAATATCGTTTTCAACACATATTAGTGGCAAAGGTTGTCTTATAGATTAAAATATATAAAAAACACCGAAAATTGGGTTGGAAAAACTGATTTTTTGCGTGTGTCTGCTCGTATTGCTCTAAATTAATTCCCTTCCTTTAAAAGGCGAAACAAAGCAGCTTTCATAATTAAGGCCCAGTTCAAACGTCGAATTTCACATGTGCCGAACTTAATTCCTATTTTAGTCGACTAAAATAGTAAAATACAGCATTTGATTTAAACATCGAATTTTACTCTCTGAACTCTGTCGAATTTAACTCTGTTCGCTTTCAATATTCCAAAGTCTCTCTAAATGAATCATAATAATTTACAAAATTAAAAATTTATGCTTTAAGTTCAGCACATGTGAAGTTCGGCGTTTGAATCAAAAGTCGAACCCAAGACGAATCTTCGACTGTTTCACTCGCAGATACGGCCAAAGTCGCATTTAACTTAAACAGTCGAATTTAATTGATCGTCGCACTTCACGTACATTCGACTCTAGCATTTAGTTCGGCAGATGTGAAATTCGACGCTAGAACCGGGCCTAAGTCTGCTCGAGGGGTGGTGGTTGTGGTAGGGGTAGGGTGGTGGGGGCTTGTTGGGGTTGGAGTCGGTGACTTACAATCTGTTTTACCGGTAAGATTTTAAATAACACCAAGCAGCCGTGTACTTAAAATAACTAAAAGAACTGATAACTATATCGATTTAGTCTGGTTATTCAATATCACAAAACTATTACTCAAATTACTTAATATCGAAGCGCAATTAATTTAACAGCGTCCAGTTGAAGTCCCAGGCGGGGTGGGGGAGGGGGGGTAATCCGGAGTTCGAGTGACAGGGATGATCGAAGGATTTTGTTGGGTTTAAAATTTTCGATTTCGGAATTTTTGGGGGTAGGAAAATTTTAGCAAGTATTTTTTTGGGTAGCTTGAATCAGTAAAGTAGGGATTTTTTGGGGGATATTCAAAACAATCTGAAGATTCGTGATAGTTCCCGCGTGTCCCAGCTGCGTAGTTCCTCTGGAAATTTTTATGGCTTACAAATTCGGCATGGGATTTTTTGGGGGTTAAATTTTGGTCCAGAGGGTTTTGTTTGAAGCCCTAGGGATTTTTTTGGGTTTTTATTTTTGCCCCCATTCGATCATCCCTGTCACTCGAAATCCGGGTACCCCCTTTAGGGTTAAAATATCACGTTTCAGTTCTCCCTTTTGGTTTTAAAGTTGTACGGCTATCATCCCTTAAAGGAGGGGAGTCCTAAACGAAACCAAACGAAAATAACTGAAAGAATGATTAAACTGATTCGACTAGAAATATTCTTCTGAATTTTTTTTTTGAAATGTTTTTCTAGGCTGGATATGGATTAAGCACTTCGTTTTTATGGCTTCTGCGTTAGCGACACCTGCAACTTCATCTTCAAAAGAAACAACTAATTATGCCAGGCTATGCCGTGTTCTTGTCGATGTGGGCACTTGTGCCCTCAGGGATTCCTTTGATGCAATCTGTACACCACCAACCTTACACCCCTTCTTAGCAGCCAATTAGCCCACATTGCAGTCTCTAAGGTCACGAAGGGCCATCAATGCAACGCAATGGGGAAAACTCCTTTCCGCAATCCCTGCCTCTGTATCATCAAGAGATTTTGACATCACTTTACTCATGATTCTCTTGAGAAACGTATGTGTTCTAGCTCCCCCACTTACTGGCTGGGACTCCCTTTCTGCGGCCACAGACTTCAGCCATGAAGCAGACATTGCGCGAATCAAATACCTCAGAAATACAGTGTACGCTCACGCTGAACACGCTTCTGTTGATGATGCAACATTCGACAAACATTGGAAAGACATCCGGGACACTCTGGTGCGATTAGGAGGAGTTACGTACGAGGTAAAAGATTTTTAGAAAATGTTCGGTATGATTTTACATTCCTGCATTTAGTGCCCTGTAATTGTTTTGGTGTTGAATCCACCTACAAACCAGGGAATGATTATGTGATATCTTCTACTCGCAGGCCGCTATTGACAACCTGCAATTTTGCTGTATGGATCCCGATATGGAGCTCCATTATAAAGAACTCCTTCATCAGTGGAAAAATGATGAAGATAACATAAAAGATGAATTGAAAGAAATAGGCGCTAACGTAAAAGAAATTAGCACAGGCATAAAAGAAGCCGTAAAAGAAATTAGCTCTGACGTAAAGGACCTCGCAAAGAAGCTTGGTGACTTAGTGGTGCCAAATACGATTCCTGCCAGGGAGGCGAATGCTGAAGGTAAATACAAAGAGACCTAATACAACTATTAAACGAACACCAAGGCCTGAAAGTTAGCGTGCAAGACATCAGCAACTCTCGCCATTTAAAATTAGTTTGAAACAAGAAACAAAGTTGACTTTGGGCAAAACACCCTCTTGACGGGAGCGTGAGCACGCCATACCGGTGCTCAAAGCCAATGCAAGGGTATAAAATATTGTCCTTTCAAACTTCTCCTCACTGTGCCAGAAAGAAAAGGAAAAAAAACAAGAGACTGAAAAACAGTCCTGTACTAGTATATAGGCCTGCCATACACCAAGCCTTTAGGTTAGTTTAAAAGCGGGAGAAAGACGCAAGCATAAAAACCGGTGTGCAAGTGTGGGGGCGATGTAGACATAAGTATTTTGTGATTATCAACTGCGTCGTTCGGACACGAAGCAGGCAGCGTAAAAAACATAGCACTCGTCACGGAATCTTGCTCTTCGGCGATCTAACGTTGGCGCCATCATTCTACATTGATACCTCTGCGCCTGCCTGTCTCATCTTATGGTAATTCTTTAATTTTTGTCGGGACCAAAACCGTGTGTAAACCCTTTAAACCCCTTAACAGTGAAAATATGCCATGATATAACCTCGCGAAACGCAAAAAGTGCATAACATTCATTCCCTTTTATTCTATAGAATCATTGTACATGTAGCTCCTTCCGTAAAGAAGGCTAAACTCAGTCATTTCTTTTTTAAGGTAACGGCACAAAACTGGAGGAGATATTGGACACTCGTTTGGTCTGTGGAGAGAAATTTCACGAGAATAAACTTTTCACATCTTTCTGTGAACAGTGCAAAGTGTGCATTTGTCAAAAGTGTAAACGGACACGTCACAATCATCACCCCACTCTGGATATTCAACGAGCCGCAGAGCAACATAAAGTCGATATCGAGGAGATTGTGCAGGAAATGAAAAGTAAAATTGCTGACTACACGGAGCATGTGAAAAGGACAAAGACATCCTTGAAAAGAAGCCGAGAGAGGATTGCTACAGCACGTAATAAAGTTATGACATTTGTTGATGTAACATTTGACACACACTGGAAGGAAATTCAAGACACTCTAGTAAGACTAGGAGGAGAGAAATACAAGGTTCTTAACAGATGCAGAATAGTCATTATGATATCTGTCTTTTCATTTTTTTTTGCTTTTGTTTTGTTTTTATTTGGTAAATCCAAAGGCACACCAATGCAGTGATTTATGTGTTAGGAATGGCTCGCTTTTAACCGTATTTTTCTTGTTTGGTTTCATCACATGACCACCCATACCCTAAATTATGCAAAATTATACCTTTTTTAAAAGGGTGGTCATGTGATGAAACCAAACAAGAAAAAAATTTTAAAAAGTACACCACTTCTACAATCCTTTAAGTGTCAAATTGATCGGGAAATTTTAAGTGTTTTATTCCTTGGTAGTAATTCAATGTTTTCTCCTTGCCCCAGTCTCTCTAAAAAATGAAAACATGGCAGTTTACAGAAAATAGTTAATTTCCAAAACCCCGATTAGTTCTATAAACCATGTACTTATAGTCATAAAAAACAAACAAATTAAATTAAATCAAATCTCTGTAAAGTGTTGTAACGTTGAATCAAATAAAATAGCTCGGGCAAGTCATGTGACTGAGAAAATCCATCATTCAAAATGAAACTGATATCCTTTTATGAAATAAGTGAGGCCTATAAAGTTTTAAGTGAAAAGATTTTAATCCTCTTTGAACCAGACCACCCCCTACAAATTTCCTGAGACCCTTTCTTCAATTCACCCGAGACGTTCCATTTCAAGGTCGCTATTGACAAGCTGGAATTTTGCTGCATGGATCCCGATATGGAGCACCATTACAACGATCTCCTTCATCAGTGGAAAAAGGATGAAGATAACGTAAAAGATGAATTGAAAAAAATAAGCACTGACGTAAAAGAAGTTAGCACTGACGTAAAAGGAATTAGCACTGACGTAAAAGAAATGAAGGAGCTAACAAAGAAGCTTGATAACTTGGTGGCATCAACTCTTACTCCTGAGGTGCAATCAAGTAATGAGGGTGAGTATATAGAGGCGATCAGAGACTTTATTAATCAACTATTGTGTATTCAGAAACGACCACTATGAGAAAAACGTAACCGTCCAAAACAACAGCTTTTGAAATTAATTTGACAAAGTCGACTTTTTGACAAATCACGTCTGACAGGATCGTGAACAATGGTTATCCCGGCTTTCACAGCCAGTGAAGGGGCTTGATTAATAAAAGGTGGTCCTTTTATCTCCTCAGAAGAATAAAGTCAATCCTGTTAAAGGGCCATAATTAGTTTTCTTTATTACATAGACACGAGTGTTTTACTGGAAAATATACCACTCGTAAAATTCAAAAAAACTACATCCGGGACCCGAGTGGTTTATTTTCCATAATCTCACACGTGAGTTTATCGATGACGTAATTTCGGTCATTTCCCTCTATTATTTTATCGATGTCTTTTTGTCTATATAATAAAAAGAACATTACACGGGGGCTTATATTTGGAGGGGCTTATTTTCGGAATTTTACGGTATCCCACGAAACTGTTAAGTTGGTTATTTGTACTGTAGGGATTTGCACGGTACAAAACCTGTTTGACAGGCCTTGGCGCAGGCGGTAAAATCTCCGGTCCAAACAAAAATTCTAAATTATATTTTGTCGACATTTGAAGGTGCTATTTCATATGACGTGTTTTAATAGCACGATGAGAATTTCCTGTAGCAGTTTTTATTGAAGAAGAGTTTACTTTTGTAATTGCAGGTCTAAAAGTGTGTATTTTATATATCAGAGATTTTGAGAACTGTGCAAAAAACAAAAGTCTCAATTGTCTCAAATGACAATTGTTTCACAAACTGGTTTGACTGGTTGGCGTTTTCTTAGCCAATCATTATCTTACCACGTGCGTCACGTGCGTCACTTGTAATAAAGCCATTTATTTCATGCCAAATTAAATCATTTTTTGCCTTAAATCTCTTTTAAAAGCTTATGATATTCCCACTCAACTGGTCTGGCCTGCAGAATAATACTGCTTACAGGCATCCGGCTGATAAAGTGACTCTCACATAGAACATAGGACAGGAGTTCCCCCACCCCCTTTGGAGGTAAAATGAATTTCCCATACGAGCGAACGCCTCCCCGTGCAGACCCTGGGGGCAGGGGTGGGTAAACAATAATAATTATAATAAGACACTTTATTTAAAGAGGGTGACACGGAATAGTTGAGGTAACTGATAAACTTGTGGCCCCCTATCTAAAATTATAATAAAAAATATATACTGTTTATACAAAGTGTACATAGAAATATAAGAGCTAAATGATCAAATGTATGTTAAATTCTAATATGTCTATCTATAGAACTATAAAATGTCTATCTGCTAAGAATTATAACAAAAATAAGGTGTAACTTAAGAGCAAATGATAAATCAAATAATTAAACTATAAAATGATGCTGATTCTGTTGTATATTAAAAAGGTTGTTTCTATAATTATTCCTAAAAGATTCTGTTGATGCAGAATTCCTGAGTTCCCGACTTAAGCTGTTCCAGAGTTGACAAGTAGTAACTGCGAATGATCTACCGCCTTTGATCATTCGATTAAATCTCGGGCAAATAAAATTAGTGTTACTATATCTTGTAGCACGACTATGTTGCTGACTGTAACACTGGAAAGGAGGGGAGGAGAGTCTCAGGAATGCAGCCGCTACGTTCGCCTTGGCGAGAAATCGCTTTGGCCGCTTTAGTATCTTTTATAGAAATCTTTGGTGTTGAACATTAGACGTAAAAAACAAGGTATCCGGTGACCTGTCTCACTTACTCATACTACCATACATTGTTTTCGTAGGTTAAACAAATCAGCACTTCCTTTCCATGGCCTCTATTACAACTACAACGCCGTCTACAAAAGACACAACCAATTATGCCAGGTTATGCCGTGTTCTTGTCGATGTGGGCACTTGTGCCCTCAGAGATTGCTTTGATGCCATCTGCGCAACACCAACCCTACAAACGTTCTTAGCAGCTAGTCAACCCACACTGAAGTCTCTAAGATCACGTAGGATTATCACTGCGACTCAATGGGGAAAGCTTTTTCCTGCAATCCTTGCTTCAGTGTCTTCAAAACATTTTGACATCACTCTACTGATGCCTTTGTTGCGCAACATCTGCGGTCTCACTCCTCCGGTAACAGGATGGGACGTGCTCCCTGCTGCCACAGACCTGAGCCGTGAGGCGGACATTGCGCGCGTAAAGTACTTCAGGAATACAGTGTACGCTCACGCTGAGCACGCATCTATTGATGATGCAACTTTTGACACAAACTGGAAGGAGATCCGAGACACTCTAGTACGGCTAGGAGGGGCTACATACAAGGTAAGCTAGAGTCGAAATGTTCAATGTGATATCCGTCTATCCTTACCTTATAACAACCATGACCAATGAGGACTCATCCCCTCTCTTTTAATGGCTAATAATTTGGCTTAGCAATGCAATGATTTATACAATACAATACAATACAATAATTTATTTAACCATGTTATCGTCTAAGAGAACAAGTGCTCTTTCAAAGTACGAACGTATATTAAATCAACAATTATGATAATAATATCTAACATAAAGAAATTAAATATGTAATCTAAATTTATGTATACATGAATATAAAAAATTATAAAAATTACAAAACTTAGCTTAGACTTAAAAATATTAACATTAACCTAATCTATTTCAAGGTCGCTATTGACAACCTGAAATTTTGCTGCATGGATCCCGATATGGAGTGCCATTACAAAGAACTCCTTCGTCAGTGGAAAAATGATGAAGATACTGTAAAAGATGAATTGAAAGAACTTGGCGCCGACGTAAAAGAAATTGGAACTAACATAAAAGAATTTGGCACAGACATTAAGGAATTTGGCACCGACATAGAAGAAATTGGCAATAACATTAAAGAATGTGACAGAGGCATTAGAGAAGTTGGCACGGACGTAAAAGAAATTGGTACCGACGTTAAAAGATTTTCAAAGAAGCTTGATGACTTAATGGCGTCAAATGTGACACCTGCCAATGGTGCAGGTAAGTGTGTAGGGAATTGAGCAACTACAATCGAACTTTAACAAACGGCTACCTCTCTTCAGTCAGGCTACTTAGTCCTAGCTGGTAGCTGTGACTCTTGTTTTAAGCTATTTACAACGACCACCTCCCTTCCACAGCTATTAGGGACCTTAAGATCCGAGGACGTCGACGGCAGTGAAAACGTCGCTGAAGAAGTGATTTCGCATTCTTTCAATCTTCATCGCGATTACTCCAAGTCACTAACTTTGACAAATGTAGGCGAACCTTCCTAAAGTTGAATTCCCAAGAACCATATCCAAGCTCAGAGAGAGAGAGGAAATCTCGTCGTCGTTTGTGTACTTCCTCTGTACATCGTGAAATTAGACATTTTGACGTCGTAGTCGTGCAGTGACGGCAAAGAAATGTACAAAGAAGCGTGATGCACTTGTAAAATGGTTGTTTTGCTAATTAAACCTATTGCTTTTGTGGCGTTCCCGTTGCCGTCGCCGTCGTCGGATCTTAAGGTCCCTATTTCCCAGCCTTGTCCAATAGGTGGCCAGAGCAGTGAAGGTTTACTGCACTATACAAACACCAAGAAAGCGGGACAAAATCAAAACAACTCTCACGTTAAAAAATTAGGTCGAAATTTAGTAACAAAGTGGCTTTTTTTCTTCAAAATGATCAGAACTTGTGCTATAAATAACTTTAATGGGAACGCAGAAACTCATAAGGGGTTGAACAACCCCTAATGGGTTTCTGTGGGAACGTGAATATGTTATCGAGGCGCTTACAGACAACGGCTGAGAACTCTGAAAACCCCCCAAATAGCCGCAGGTTAACTGTCAAATGTCACGTGATCCTATTAGTCACGTGACTACCATCTTAAAAAATACCAGGCGAGGTTGTCGAAAGGTAGCCTGAAGTTTCGATTTCTTTCCCTGTAAAGTTATCTCCAATTCAATGAATCCAGAAACCAAAATCCTCAAGCACAAAAAAGGAAACGTTAACGAAACGTCTTGCTATTTAAAGCATCAGGAACCTAAGACAATGTTTAACTTGTGACATTTCTGGCCCTCCTTTTCAACTCTGTAAACCTTTCATCGCTATACACTATTTCTGGGATTCACTCAATTACTAACCCATGAAAATCCGGGCTCAAGAACAAACAAAATGCACTTTATGTGAGTGTCAATGTATGTAGTACGAAACTACTAAATAAATATGATTGGGGACACTATTTTTAACGTCTCCCACTGGAGACGAGACCGCCATTTTACGTCTTCATCCAAGCCACCCGAAGCAGTGCAAAGGCAGTACCTTCATTTCTCAGTCATTTTAAGACCCTGAGTGTTGGTCCGGTCCAGGGAATCGAACCCGCTACCTCCCGCTCTACTGACTGAACTAATCCTGCCTCGGTCAACAAGTCGCAAGTTCAGCGTAAACGCATTTGATATGCATCAAAAATGTACGTATTGACTTGTGCACAACGGTTAAAATCACGTTCTAAGCTGCTTTGACAAATTTGTCTACTCTGGATCTAAAGTGTTATTAACAGACAGGCAGGAGAATCATTTATGTAGTTAAAATACGCCTCACATTGTAAAACTAAGTTCTTGGGAAAGGGAAGCATCTCACTCTAATGCACGTCAGTAGTTTCCCTGACAATTGTGTTAGCTTTGTTTACATGTTCAGTACATTATAATCATAATTGTATTTTGTTTTGCCAAAGATAAAAGCCAAAAACTGAAAGGGATAGTAGACACCTCGTCTTTGTGCAGAGAGAAATTTCACGAGAATGAACTTTTTGACTCTTTACTGTGAACAGTGCAAAGTGTGCATTTGTGAAAAATGTAGACAGACCCGTCACAATCACCACACCGCCGTGGATATCCACCAAGCCGCCGAAGAACACAAAGTTGATATCGAGGAGATTGGACAAGAAATGAAAATAGAAATCGCTGATCATGAAGAGCACGCGGAAAAAACAAAGAATTCCGTGAGAAAAAGCAGAGAAAGGATTTCTACCGCGCGCAATAAAGTAATGACATCTGTTGAAGAACTTATCCGACTTTTACGTGAACATGAGAAAGCTATGATAACTAGTTTGGGTGTTATTGACGGAAAAGAAGAGCGACAGTACTCAGCGCAGCTGGAACATTTACAGGTTTCTAGGAATCAGTTACAAGAGCATGTCGAGTGCTGCGAGGACATCTTACTGAGGGAGAAAAGCGTTGAAATTTTGCAAGCACATCATGCACTTATCGGACGATGTAGAGGTCTTCTAAATGTAAGGAAACTAAACATTTATAAACCATCGCATGTCAAATACGAGATTAATAAAGAGTATGTGGAGAAAGTGAAAAGCGCAGTTCCGGCGGTGGGTCGAGTCGTCATCGTTACCACAGATCCTTTGCAGTCGGCGGCTGAAGGGACAGGTTTACAGAAAGTAAAATTAGGAAGCGAAGCAAAGTTCAAAGTAACAACCAAGGACTCGGATGGAAACAAGTTTTATGATGAAAACGATCAGATTCAAGTGAAAGTCCAGTCTCCCTCAGGAGAAGAACTGATCCACGTGATTTCACCTGACAAAGATGGTGAATATAGCGTCACTTACACACCAGATTGTTTCGGACAACATGATGTGATGGTGACGATTAACGGTCAGCCGCTGACAGGAAGTCCATGGAGCGTTCATGTGACTTGTGTGCCACAAGTTCATTTTACACAGTATACATATTCATTTTCGTTTAGCTCATCTTTGAACAGAAAGGGAACTTTTTGTTGGCCCAGTAGCATTGCGACAGATGGTAATACTGGCAATGTTGCAGTGGCCGATCAAAATAGGGTACAACTATTTAGTGTACAAGGCACGTATCCACACATTCTTGTTGCTTATCAACTAAATGATCCGACGTCGGTAGCATTCACCAAGTCAAGTGAACTCTTAGTTATTGCTTCTCACACGATTTTTTGCTACAATAGAAGTTACAAATTTATAAAATACGTCATCAACAAAAAACTGCAGAAACCAAAGTATCTGAATATTGCGTCTGACGGACGCATGATGGTGTGTGACTGGGGTGACCACACAGTCAAAGTCTTGTCCTCTGATGGCTCACAGCTGTTGCTTGCCATCTTTGATCCTAACAGTACACTCCCATGCAACACATGGTGTCATCAAAATATGTTTTATATTTCCTATCCAATGCCAGGTAATGTGAAGTTATTCAGCAAAGATGGGGTGTTGTTGTACAGTATCGGCATCTCAGAGTCTGGTGTTCGACATCTGAGTTTTCCTGCAGGTATGGCAATTGACAGGTTTAATAACCTGGTGGTGTGTGATCGTGATAAAGCAAGACTTCAGTTATTTTCTCTTGTGATCTCAATACATGGAGGGTTTAGTGCACCATTTTCTGTTGCTGTGTCAAGCAGTGGCCAGCTTTTTGTTACTAGTTCACTGGACAAATCCTGTGTGTATATTTTACAGTGAGAAACAGATTATCTGGTACCAGTTAATAAACTGATCATCACTGACATTTACTTGAATAATGGTAGTTTCCGACCGCACTAGATGTCAATTAAATACCTTCATTCCTTCGTTCTTGTATTATTTTGATAACATTAAAATTGGTCTTACATTAGCGAGCCAGTGGGACAACCATGTCCATTGTCATAACCTCTCAAATGAAACATCCGAAACTGTACTCGTACGAAGTACTATACTTATTTCAGTACACGTATTTATAAACCTTTCACTGCCATTCAACAAAATTTCCAAAAGCGTTTTAAAGTATTGCTCTTGTTCAACTTTAAATATGTATTGCCTAAAAGGTGTATAGTCCATGGTGCAAAGCAACAAACAGGACATGTTGAAAATTGCCGTATAAAGTGAGTATGTTTGAGACACACAACTCGTAATTGAATACCGTTGCTCAGTTTTTGATTGACACCTTCAGGAATTCTCAGTGTAATACATGAATAGTTAAGAGACAAACTTTGAGAAAAAATCTCAGTTAACTTCTGTTTCAGGGAAATGAATGATTAACAAAATCTTTCGTCTGCCCTTTTCAATATATCTACAGAGCGTTTTCATTCACTTGACCAGCATCTGTGCAAATTCATTGAAACAAAAGAAAGAGTTTACATAAGAAAATAGTTTAATCCAACATGATTTGTTTGAAACAACAACATGGTCCCCGTGTTTTATTGTTTTGGAACAGCAATATGACGTGACGTCATGGGAAAACGCTCTATATTTTGGCCGAGCGGTTTACACCTCGAACTCCGGATCTGGAGGTCCTGGGTTCAAGCCTCGCCCGTCGAGTTGTTTCCTTTGACAAGGAACTTTACTCCACTTTGTCTCCCTTCACCTAGGTGTATAAATGGGTACCGACGACATACTGCTAGAAGGGGGGGTAACTCTGCGATGGACTAACATCCCGTCCAGGGGGGACTAGCTTATGCTCCTAGGTGCTTCATGCTACTGAAACCGGGATAAGCTCCGGCCGTTTGGGCCTTTGGCTGGTGTGCGCCTTTACCTTTTACCTTATATTACGAACTCATGGAGCAATCAGTTGTCTTGGATTAGCTAGCTCAGTTGGTTAGAACACGGTATCGATGTTGTAGGGTTATGGGTTCACAACCCATTCAAGCCTAACTTTTTTCAGGCTTTCTTTTTGCAACTGTTTGAAATGCGTACTTAACTGAATGTTAAATCTTACTCTCACAGTTGAAATGGTTCTCATACATAAGCGTTTCTGCCCTACACCATTTTTACTCCATTTCATTTTAAAAAGTAACTGCATTTTTAGCTCAGTGATTACAGATTTTGGCAGTTTGATTGACCAATGCAAAACAAAGGATACCATCATGCACGTCACTTATGTTGCCAAGCGTTAGTGCGTCTGGAGTTCATGGTTCGATTGCTTTCTATAGAATGAGATCCCGTGACTTAAGCTCTCGGCTCAAAGAAACAAGTTGACATTCGCTGTCACTGGGTTTACCCAATTAAACGTGTATGTTTCAAAGGTTTGTTTAATTTTTTCAGAGATAATCTGTTGAGTGTATGCTTCAGTTACCTACCAGGTTCAGGCCCGCGGAAGAGTTTCAAACATCTGATTGGTGAAGCTTCAACAGAGTAAAGTTTACCTCAAATGAGCTTACTGCTTGGATGCCATTACATGTAATCGCTTTAATTTAGACCCAAATTAAATCAGGTAAGTTTCTAATCGATCCAGATTTAAAAAGTCTTGTGCGTCCTTAATGAATGGTTTTCTAAACTGCATGATTTACAGAAACTCTTGTGTTATAGTTTGGCATGTAGTGTACTTTTGTTGGTTTCTGAAACTCAGTTTGTGTGTTCGTGTGAGAACATATTTTTGCAAAATAAAGCAACCAACACAGCAATCAAAACGAAAGTATTCTCTCCGCCTGTAAAACTACTAAAAGTTGTATAACTAGGAGACCTTTACTTCGATAACAAAATGACAAACAATAGCTTTATATATTATATATTCTTTATCTGGACCAAGGACGCTTTCAGTTTCCATTCTAAGCTAGATCGACTTCTGGGAGGTTTCCAAGACCAAATGTTGGTGTCGAAGGCAAAATTTCAGCCAGTTTGCTTTTGCTTTTATAACGGCCGTATTTCCTTATCTTGTCGATACATGTTGCTGACATTAAACTAACTATTCACTGGCAGATTCTTATCGCTAGGAATAATAAGGGTTTTCAGGCTGATGAACGCGAGACTTTTTGCATATTAAGTTGATCTAAGTTGTCTGATCGCAAAGAATCTGTTTAGCGTCCATCTTCAACCAAGTTTGATTTCTTTTATTCAATGTTGAGGTGAGTATTCACTACACTAACACTGGAGTACAAGTGAGACCAGTTTTGCGGCAACAATCTCTGGAACCTTGATTTTACTTCCCGGGTGACCGTTTACTTCTTTCTTTAATGTAAATTATTTTACAAGGAAGTGAACTCAAGTGAGGAAGAAGTAAGTAACTCCAAATTATTTTTGGAGTCCTGCTTCCGTGAAATATTTATTCAATTTTTGCCTCAGAGACAGTTTAAACAAAACAAGCCCGTGGTGGACCCATTATTTAGCTATGCTCCTTTTATACAGTTTTGTTATGAATTATTTTTAAGATGTCACTGTCATGATTATTTATAAAGTGCGTTTAAACTCTCAATATGCAACTGACTTTTCATTACTCTGTATTAAAGACTTACGGCTGCATATTTAAGCTCCAACCCTTTTTATACTTTTGTGATAGTCTTTTTTAAAAATTTAATCAGTTTTTGCCATCTTTTATGAATTTCATCAGCTTTTAAAGTTAGCCGAATAATTGTCTATTAATAAGTTTCTACTGATTCATGGAACCGATATTGAGATATTTCAATACGGGAGCTGTCTGTATCACGAAGTTTATCGAAGTTCAAACGGTGGAACTTGTCATCAAATTTAGAAAAACATAGCAATAATCACTCAAAATCTTAAAAGAAGGTATGAAAACACGACATATACAGTCGAACCCCGCTATTTCGAACTCGGTTAATTCGAAGTCCCCGCTATTTCGAAGGAAGATCGAATTCCCTTGGATTTACCCTTGTGTTTTCAGTCATTTACTATCAGCTATTTCGAACTCGGTTATTTCGAATTCCCCGCTATTTCGAACTCATCGTTCTTTCCCTACACCTTAAAATCAACCCCGTTATTTCGAACTTGTCAAAAACAGAGTACGAACATAAGAGCACAGCTGGAAACGTTTGCATTTTATTTAAGCTCGTGTTACGTGATTAATAACTTAACAATGCTTGACTCACGTGCAGTGTCCCGCTAAGAAATTCCAGCTGTGTTATTCAATTACAAAACCAAAACGCACTGTTAGGCTATGCCGTCTTCTTGTTGATGTGGGTACTTGTGCCCTCAGGGATTGCTTTGATTCAATCTGCACGCCAAAACCTCTTCATACAAAATTGGCAGCCAATCAATCCAAATTGAATTTTTTACGGTCACGACTGAGGATCATCAATGCAACACAATGGGGAAAGCTTTTTCCTGCAGTCCCTGCGTCAGTATCTTCAACAGATTTCGACATCACTTTACTCATGATTCTATTGAGAAACATATGTGGTCTCCCTCCACCGATAAAAGGATGGGACGAGCTCCCTGCTACTTCTGACTTGAGCCGTGAAGCAGACATTGCACGGGTCAAATACTTCAGGAATACAGTGTACGCTCATGCTGAGCACGCTTCTATTGATGATGCAACATTCAACAAACACTGGAAGGAAATCCGGGACACTCTGATGCGACTAGGAGGAGCTACCTACCAGGTAAAACAATCAATATTTTTCATATTCCATTTCATCAAGAGGTTTGAACTACACAGGCACACCAAATAATTGATTTACATGTTCGCTGTTCCATTTCAAGGTCGCTATTGACGACTTAGAACTTTGCTGCATGGATCCCGATATGGAGCTCCATTACAAAGAACTCCTTCATCAGTGGAAAAATGATGAAGATAATGTAAAATATCAATTGAGAGAAATTGGCGCCAGTGTAAAGGAACTTACAAAGAAGGTTGATGACTTAGCTGCATCAACTGCGAATCCTGTTAGGGAAACAAATGATGGAGGTGAGAGACCTTTTAAACGACTACTGCGGCAATTGTATCACCTTGCTTTTTAAACTAAAATGAGTTAAAGATTAACCCTCGGACGTACACGCAAAATAATACCCCCAACGTGGTACAAGGGAGTGGGGGGTGGGTGGAACCCCTTCCCAGAGTTTTTGATATGTTGCAGTATTTCGAAGCGATTAAGCCTTCAGTTAAAGCCTTTGATCTTCTTAACAAGATGAGGTATATTTTACGTATGGTGGCGCTGCTGGAGGCCTGTGACGTCACCATCAATGGTCGCCATCCTGGATTTTACTAAGAATTGGAAATTAGGTGAAAACTGCGAGAAATGGTAATTGTTGGTGCTTTACATGACAGCACAAAAAATGATACCCCCACTGTGGTACGAGGGGGGGTGGATGGAACCCCTCCCCAGAGTTTTGATATGTTGCAGTATTTCTAAACGATTTTGCCTTCAGTTAAAGCCTTTGATCTTCTTAACAAGGTGAGGTATATTTTACGGGTTGTGGCGCTGCTGGAGGCCTGTGACGTCACCATCAATAGTCGCCATCTTGGATACAAAGTTTTACCAAGAATTAGAAATTAGGTTAAAACCGCGAGAAATGGTAATTTTTTGTGCTTTACATGAAAAATAACACACAAATAAGCACTTTGCATAATTTTAGCCACAAGATTTACTTTTCTTGTTGAAAGAAGCTGATAAAACATGTATTTTCACCCAAAAATGGCTTGACCACCTGCTACTTATGACGTCATATCTCGTAATTATAGAAACTGACAGACACTAAACTTGTCTCAAAATGCGCGCGAGGGATAAACGAACAGCCACACGTTCACAATAAACAACCGCATGTCACTCTTCATCAAAAGCATTCCTTTCCCGCCTTAAGGGTTAACCAGGATTAGTAGCGCCAAAATTTGATACTTCTGTTCAAGTGTATGTCATCTTATTCTTTCACGTGTTAACATTCTTCTTGTGCTTATGCTTGTGACATGCGTGTATACGAATCATAAAGGCTTCCGTTTTACACCGGATGATCCGCAACGAAGGTTTTCAACACGGTGCAACATTTATGTGACATTGCTTCGAATTACAACAACATTGTTCCAACATTGTTGCCATAAGATCGTCGTTGCAATTCGTCCCATGTTAGTGGTGTAACATTGCCTTTCAGCTTTGTTTCAAGCGGGCCCTTGGCTCTCTCTATTGAATTTCGCCCCTAAGAAAACATTGTCTTTGTTTTAAAACTGTAACATAAACCAAGAAAATGATAAGCGTCTAGCTTTAAGTTGAAATCCAAATTTGTTTGGGTGTGCTACATACACTTGGCATTCTACGTCCTTAGTTCTGTCGACCCTATGCCACGTGAAAACTGCAATCGCTAACATTTCTCTACATTTCAAATGCATTGTTAGTTACTGCGGTTCACGTGGAACTGAAACTGAAGAAAGAGAGGCTGTCACTTAGAAAACAAGAAATTTACTACAAAGTTCTCAATGATCTTGAAGCTTAAAGGTCATACAAAACGACGACTATAACAAAAAAAAAAAAACAGCTAACAAGAGCATCTCCAGGCATGCTAATCAATACTCTTTCTAGCAATCGGCTGAGGACATCCCCATGATTTTCTCACACACTTGTTTTATAAACAATAAAACTACTATGAAGCAAAAAAGCATTTAAAAAGAGCTTCGAAGAGATTGTCCTGTTATTACTGAATTTGTAACAACAAAGACTTCATCCAAAAATATGTCGATGACATTAACTTATCATAGGCTTTACTCAAACTGGCAGCTATTTTTTTTATTTTCATGTTCCCTATAATGCAACTTGTTTTCCCCACAAAATTTTTTCGTAAGTTTTGTTTTCAGTTACTCAAGGGACGATTTTTTGTCCCAGGGGAAACAGAAAACAAGGCTTATGAATAATTTCTACTTTTGTGGAGAAACAAATTGCATTATGCGGAACTTGATGGTCTCAAATAGACCTTATTCAAGATACCCACTGTCTTTGCACGCGTTTTAAGATTGTAGGATAAAAGCGTGGTATTTCAGGGGACAAACAAGTGATAAAATTTGCAAATACGAGTAAGCGCGGTCGAGTTTGTTTATTCTCTCGAGACGACAGTTAAGTAGTCATGTGAACATGTACACTTGGAGTTTCAACAAGACTTACATCTTATAAAAAATGTTGCTCAACACCAACAATATCGCTAAAAGTCAGTAGAGCTTTCGGAACCCATCTGGATCCCTTCATCAGTGATGACGTTTGCTGTTATATTCGCAGCCTCGTTTAAATGAGACTACAAAATTGTTCCATAAATTGAGGGAAGGTTGCAGGCCCTGATCATGGTTCATTTGCGGTCGCCGAGTATCAATGTTTATGGGTTCGCTTATCTTGCGTGAAAGAAGGTGGTTTCCCTGAAGAATACTTTATATGATATGTTGTCCCAACCGAAGAATCTCCACTCCGTCGTCTTAAGTCATTAGGAAACTTTAGCATCGACGACGGCAACGAGAGCGAAAACGTCAGTTTTAAAATGAATTCCCGTTTTTTCAATCTTTGTCGCGTTTATTCCAATTTGCTGAAAATGTCAAATGTAGTTGAATTTCCCTGGAGTTGATTTCTTGAGGACCGGACTCAAGTTTAGAGAGAGAAAAAGACATTCGTCGTCGCTTGTTTACGTCCTCCATAAAACTTGCAATTAGGCATTTTCAAGTCATAGTCGTGCAAGGACGGCAAAGAAATGTACAAGAAAGCGTGTTGTTCGTGCAAAGTTGTTGTTTTGCGTAATTAACCCAGTAGTATACTAAGGTCAAATTTAACCGTTTTGGTGTCTAGCAAGGTCTAGCTAGGTCTAGTCTATGACGTCACCGATTGTTATAACCTGGGGAAAAAGTGGATTCCCTTTGTTAATATGTATAAGTGTCTTCCTGCATACTAATTTGGATTTCCTGCATACTAATTAAGTGTCTTCCTCCATATATAATGAAGTGGATAGGTTTACTAATGAGCGTCACTCTACTACAATAGGAACAATAGGCTTGCCTAGACTTGCCCGGGCTCTTTTAACCCTGATTGGATAGTAAACAATCTATTATGTGTTTAACATAAAAGTGCGCTTTCCCTTCAGTATTTCATTCTTGCAGTCGCTTTGCTAAGGAAAAAGTCTTACTATCACCAATATTTTTTAAAACATTGCTCCAAACATGCAAGTCGAATCGAGCTGTAAACTTGTCTGACTATTACAGAACTGTTTTCTCCCATCTATCTCGAGGACATGAAAAACTATTGAAGTATCAACGTTTCACGCACGGTTAATCAGGTAATTATGCGAGTTCACAAGCCAAAAGTTGAATACAAACTTGCTCTACAGGAAAGACCCAAGGGAGCACCTTGACGTATTATTATAAAACAAATAACTTAACAAGGATCAATTAAAACATGCGACTAATAATTACTAGCAATAAAATCTGACACGAGATACCGTTGAAAACAAAAAGAGTCAAATACACAGCGATTTGAAAGAAATCTATTAAAACAGTCAAAGAAAGCAAGTCATGTTTTACTTACCCCTCTCCCTTTTCAATTTTATTTCCCTCCTCAATTTTTTCTTTTTCCCTTCTCCAAAATTTTATTATTTTCCCTCCTCAATGTTTTTATTCCCTCCTCCACAATTTTTATTATTTTCCCTCCTCAATGGAAAACAGCTATCACATCAGAATATCCGTTTTTCGAAATCTAAACTGTGACAGACACTCGGACTCGGTCATCTCATTCAAGTTGAAAGTTGAATAATTTCGTGCGGAAATTAGGTGTATTTCCACTCAGACAACACAAAAAATTTTTCATCGTCAATAACATTAGACGTACGGCTTGAACAAATAAGATCTTGCATTGTTTTGAAAGACGCCATTGCGAAAAACTTTTTTGCAAACGAACATCACAGTTTTACATTTGTGTTTACATTCAGTGTCGTCGTCGTCGACCTACCGACCGACTGCATCTTAAGTTTCCTTTTTCCCGCCGAAACTGACGTTCTCGTTCCACTCTTTTCCCGGTCAACAGACGTCGTCGTCGTGAACTTCGTCGAGGTTCTTAAGTTCCCTATTAGATTCCATCCTCAGAACTACCTTCCCCGTTTAGCTACACTTTCATGAAATTTCTAAGTCTCTTCAAATTCAGTTCTTTTCTAATCTTTTCCCAAGTCTAAGACCCTTCGAGCGGGATTCGAACCCGCGGTCCTTGAAACCGAAATCCATCGTCTATACCACTATAGAGCGTTTTCACTCACGTGGTCAGCATCTATGCCAATTTATTGGAACAAAAGAACGTTTTTACATAAGAAAAGAGTTCAACTCCCACAGTATTGGTTTGGAACACCAACATGGCCGCCGTTTCATTGTTTTGGGACACCAATATGGCCGCGTGACGTCATGTGAAAACGCTCTATACCACAGTGGATTCGACTGCAAGTTATGTTTTCATTTTACATATTTATAGTTTACCATTACTATAGTCGCAGCCTTTACGCGCTATAGGTTTTAACACACAAACTTTATTCTAGAACTTCTACAACTGGTGAAGGGAAACAAGTGAACCGATGTGAAGTATAACGAAGTACAGCGAAGTACAGCGAAGTACAGCGAAGTACAGCGAAGTACAGCGGTACTGAAAAATAACAATTAAACAAATACAAAGTCAAGATAAAACAACCTACAAACTGAAAGAAAGCAATAAGGCAATCTAGAAATGCGAATGAAACAAACGAGATACTTACAAGACGATAGCGAGATAAGGACGAAAAACTAGGACGAGCAAAAACCCAAACATTAAACTGTAAACCGGACCAAGCGCAGCTAAACGAAGAACTGACGCGAAAAATTACAAAAAAAGCTAAATATACGATATGCAGAAAAATTCTAACACGAAGGACAAAGCTACGCGGACAATGAAAAACTAATGAACCAAGCAACAGCACTAAAGGCGCGAACACGAAAATAACTAAGAACGCGGCGAACATAAAAATACTATAAAGGTAACGGAAAACATTCCTGGCGCTTACAATTACCATTTCGAGTCAGTGTTAGCCCTAATTACCATTGTCAATACTTAACCCTTATCACTATAACGTTTTTCGCGAAGTTTTAAGATGTTATAACGTAAGAGCATAGAAATGAAGAGATTACGTATTGAACGTTAGAAGACTTATTTCAAAATAAACGTCATATCTAAGGCGGGGCCAGATGTAGTGAGAACTATTGCTAGTTTAAATAAACAAACTTGACAGCGATTTCTTGCATTGGCAAATTTTATCACTTGTTTGCCCCTTGAGAAACTACGTGACGTCTCTTTTATCCCATCAGCCCTCAAGCGAGTGCAAAGTGGGGGGAAGCATCGTTCTCAGTCGTCTTCGGCACCTTTCAAGCTTGTCAAGAAAATTTGCGCTCGGTTCCCAGCCTCCTCTGTTCACTTGGGCAGCGCGAACTGACCTGGGTACGAGGCTGAGATGGGGGGTATCGTGAGCAAGGTCTCCTGAACGAAAAAGTTTCCAGTGGCGAGAAATATGTCCGCTAATAAAATATGTGATGACATCATGACGTTGATAAGACCACTCCTATGTTAACGTAACAAATCATTCATATCAAATTTTCATCTTTAACTAATATAGCAGTGGTGATTGTTTTCCCAACTTTTTGTTAATGGCGACGCAGTTTTTGCTCAAACTTGGGAGGTAGTGTCCCTAAAAAAATCTCGTCGAGCAACCTTACGTAACGTTATCGTATTTCGTTTTCATAAGGTAATGGGATAAAACCGACTGAGATACTGAAACCTCGTCTGTGTGCACAAAGAAATCTCACGAGAATGAACCTCTGACGTTTTACTGTGAACAGTGCAAAGAGTGCATTTGTGACAAATGTAGACGGACGCGTCACAATCATCACCCGACTTTGGATATCCATCAAGCCGCAGAACAACACAAAATCGATATTGAGGAGATTGTAGAGAAAATGAAGAGAGAAATTGCTCATTATGAAGAGTACGCAGAAAGTACGAGAGAATCTTTAAAAAGAAGCAGAGAAAGGATTACTACAGTACGCAAGGAAGTAATGACATCTGCTCAAGAGCTCAGACGACTTCTAGATGAACATGAAAAAGCCATGAAAACCAGTTTAGATAAAATTGAGAGGAAAGAACAGAGAGAGCACGAAGCGAAACTACAACATTATCAAGGTCCTATTAATCAGCTACAAGATCATGTCGAGAGGTTTGAGAACATCTTACAGAGGGAGAAAAGCGCTGAAATTTTGCAAGCCAATCATGATCTCATTGAAAGGTGCAGAGGTCTTTTAAATGCAGAGAGACTGAACATTCATGAACCATCGCATACAAGATACGAGGAAAATAAAGAGAATGTGGAGAAAGCGAGAAGTGCACTTTTGGCCTTGGGTAAAGTTACTGTCATTACCACAGATCCTCTGACGTCGATGGGCTTACATGAATTTGAATTAGGAAGCGAAAAGACATTTAAAATAACGACAAATGATGCTGATGGGAACCGATGCTACAATGAACAAGATCTGCTTAATGTGGAATTTCAGTCACCCTCAGGACAAGTAGTGAGACCCAAGATTGTACCCAGCAAAAACGGTGAATACAGTGTCACTTACAAACCAGATAATGTTGGAAAACATAAATTGCTGATTGCGGTTAACGGTGAGCCATTGACTGGTAGTCCATGGCGTGTTCATGTGACTCCACATCGTTACAAATATTTAACTTCGTTATTTAGGAAAAGAAAAAGAATGTGATTGTCCCTCTTCTATCGCAGTAGATGAGAAGTCGGACAATGTTGCAGTGACCTATTATGAAGATAGCGTTCAGCTATTTCAGTTACAAGGAACGTGTCTAACAGCAATAAAGCAGATTGGTGTACCTAGACCAACATCAGTGGCATTCACCAAGTCAGGTGAACTCATAGTTGTTGCTTCTAATAAGATTGCATGTTACGATGAAAGCTATAAATTTATAAAACACCTCAACAACAGACATCTTAAGAAACCAGGACATCTGTCTATTGCACCTGATGGACGCATGGTGGTGTGTGACTCGGGTTACAATGCAGTTAATGTTCTGTCCTCAGATGGTTTACGGCTGTTACTCACCATTAGTGATCCTAATCATGTTACTCCATGGTATGCTGTGTTTCATCAGAATATGTTTTTTGTTTCCTATCCTGAATTAGGTAGGGTTAAGCTTTTCAGCGAGGATGGGGTGTTTCTGTACAACATCGGGCCTTCGGGGTCTGGTGATGGACACCTGAGCTGTCCTGTTGGCTTTGCGATTGACAGGTTTAACAACCTGGTGGTATGTGATCAGCATAAAGCAAGACTTCAGATATTTACTCTTGACGGGAAATTTTTAAATACAATAGAAGGACAACAAGCTGGTTTTACTGGTCCTTGCTCTGTTGCTGTGTCAAGCACTGGCCAGCTGTTTGTTACTGATGTGGACGAAGACTGTGTGTATACCTTCCAGTAACTGAGAACGAATTTAAATTATCATCGCACTGAAGTTAGTAACAGTACAATTTAACTGAACCGTAAATCAATTTCAGTTATTGACTTAATCGTCCAGATAAGTATTTCTTTTACCTAGAAGCCCCAGGGGATACTATATGATTTGTGAGGTGTTTGGCGGTGTGCCACTGGGTGACTGAAACCTATACCAGACGATGTCAGCTGCATTTTACTTTCCAATTCTGAATAAGGCACCAAATGTTCCTTCCCTATCCCAGACTAACTCTAAACCAGAAACTTATTTCTTAAACCAAAGGTCAAATCACCATTACTAATACCTTATTCTAGGCTAAAAACCCTTCTTCAAACTATCTAAATCTAAGCTGCTTAAAAACTGTAACCATTGCAGTGGCACATTTCATTATAGCCCCTATCCCCAAATCAAGTCCACTACAATAAAACAATAGAGTTTATGTACTAGAGCGTCATAAATATGTTTTGAGCACGAAACTGGCTAGAATTTACAATTTCGTGTCATTTAAGTTTTACAAAATTATACTAGACATGAAAGCTTGTTTGTAATTATTTTAATAGAAATATACATGTGTACAAATGTTAAACTAACAGTTTGGCATGGAACTGGGTGCGTTGGCTTGAAGCCGCAAAACTCTAATACATGACTTCGTCGCCGACTATGGAGTATGGAGACCTATGAAGCTACTACAAGCGTTATTTACATCAGCGAAGCTTCTTTGACTTTTGTAGATCGTCTTCCCCTAGATGAAAATATTGAGAAATGACAAATTGTCTGTTGCTTTCTGTGTTTTCAGCCATGATTTGGGCTTTGAAAATGGCATCGTGATTTCTTTGACAAAGAATGCAAGAAAAACGGTGCAATCATTGCAATGGCTTCCAGTCTCGATTTCGACTGGCTTCTTACATCGTATAACTGTTTGATCCTCTCTTTTCATTTGTGTATTTCAGCAGGCTGACTGAAATATATTTTAGCCCGCCAAATTCTCCATTTTAGCCCGCAAAATGCGCAACAATGCCTTACAAAGTGCATAATAATAAGCATTCAAACGAGAGACTTCGGGGCATTCCAGCATGGAAGTTAAGATCTTTTTAAACCATCATTAAATAAACGTATGGCCGGATTTTTTCATCATAAATAATATTTCAATTCGAAGATTTTAAATAATGTAAATGGCAACACTTGTTCCTAAACGGTTGTGATAAAGTTAAAATGGACAGTAACCTATGTTATTTTTGTAATACGGCAACCTGTATTTACCCTAATTGAATCTTTATTAAACAAGCTTATGACTTGCATATAGTGTTTTTATTTCCAGTTGGCCAGGAAAGCAGACTTTGTTCTGTGTCAGTGTTTTCTGTGCGATATGGTGCCTATTCTCTTGGACCGGTCATTATTTATGTACGGGGGGGGGGGGGAGGGAAAAAAAAGGGGAGGGGTCAAAGCTATTTCAGATTGGCAAGAGGAGGAGCTAAACTCTTTTATAAAGAAGTTAAGGGGGGTCAGCAGTTTGATCGCAAGTTATATTTCCCAAATTTCCAAATATTCATTCTGCTCTTTGTTCCAGTCATATATTTGACCATTGTCACTGAACTGTTCACCATAACTTTCTTCAGCTAAAACTTTTTCCTTTAAAACCTCTTCTTCCAAACTTGACAAGTCTTTGACTCCTCGCTCACAGTTTAGTATGGTCCAGTATGTCTAAAGGACTTGAAAGGGAGGTTAGATATTTGCCAAAGCGGGCATTATTGTCATCAGACAACATGTATTTCAGCTTCCTCTCCACTTTCTCTATCATGTTCTTTATGTCCCACCTCTTGCCACGCTCCATGATTAAATAAGTCTCAAATCCTGATTCTCTCATAGGACATCTTGCCTCAAACAACCTAGGTAAAAACTGGACACTGGTCTGCGCAAGACACTGATTTTGTAATAGAGTGCGTTACGTTCATTGTTATGCAAAGTAATTGTTACATGCATTTTAATAATTACTTTGTAGAGCATATAAGAGGAGATATGATCTTTTCAACAAATTTTTCCCCCCCCCCCCTACATAAATAATGACCGGTCCCTTAATAACCTGCCTCATAGTTAAAAAAAAAAAAAAAAAGGCCATCTGTATTCTGCTTTGATCACGTGAAGCATGCCCATGTTTTAAGCAAGTAAAAGATACCTCATTCTTAGGGGCCAGGGGTACTGCATTATATGGGCTATATATGTATGTGCCGCTGTGAAGGGTACGGTTTTCAAGCGGCTTACTCTGGGATAGGTATATGAATCAGAGAGTTTGGGTCCAGAATAGGGTATCATTTTCCAGGAAACTGATCAATTGGTTGAAGTTTTTAGTCTATACTATGGAACTGGAAATTGCCACTCAAAAATATGAAAAAATCAAATCGGCAAGTTTAAATTTACGCAACTCAGCCTAAAAGCTAACAGGATAGTGGGGGATTTAGGGAGTTTAGTCTGAGTAGTATAGGGTAGCAAAACTCAGCTGAACTAGCTCTGGTATGGGCTAAGGGTTCCAGGGTCTCAGCGGATCATCGCCACCCAAAAATTCCTTTAATAATCTGGTAGCAGAGGCCAGAAAATAAGGCCTCCTGAATGATCGTGGTAGTTAGTTGAGTGGAATTGTTGTATACGTTTTTAGTTAAGGTTTTGATTCCGGTCCCAAAACGACAGTACCAAAGTCTCATCTTTTGGAGAAAATATTTATCTACTTTGAAATGCTAAGGAAACGCATTAAATCTTATCTAATCACAATTTTTGGTGTTAGGTTTGTGTGAAAGCTAATTGTAAGCTAATTTTGCAATATTAGCCATGATATGTTTTCTACTGCTGTCAAAAGGTGTTTGTAGTGAGTGGTAGAAATTCGAAGTACGTCAGACGGCCTCCCGTCGTTTAGCGTACCCTATACATCCCAATAACAGTTATGTAGTACTTCTGATAAAAATCAGTGGTAAGAGATTACTTCTATAGATAATGGTCTAAAATAACCTTGGCTTGGTATTTTCATGCTGTGGTCCGTAATGACTTTCATGATATTTCGCTATCCTTCGCAAATGAAATAATAAAACAATTTTCATCGATCTTATCGATATTGATTTATCGTTGATATGTAAATGCGCTACTACTTGGATGATCTCAAAATTATTGTAAAACGTTGAAATAATGGGCAAAAGGGAGAAAAATGCTTTTGACTCTAACACCAAACTGAATGGGAAGGCTTTTGAAACAGAACAAGGCAAGTACATCTCAAATCAGCAGATGAAAGAGTTTATAAAAGTGAAAGCCTACCTAGATCTATTCAGACGTTTGCTTATCTTAGCCAACGCAAGGCACACCAACCTCGAGACGTTCTTTCGTATGAGTTACATGTATCTCCATCCCCCTGTTCACCAGTTCACAACGATGGAAGCCTAAGAAAACCTATAAAAAGTGACCCATCAGTTGTGGAAGAGGGAAGTCATTGCTGTCCAGCAAGTCTTCCAGCTCCAGCACACAACTTTATTGCTCATATCATGGATGATATGGCCTTTATACAGGTGCATAAATCCATTCGAGCCAGCACATTTAGTGCGAGCCAGTTAGCCTCCACATACTTCATTATCATTGTAGCATAGCTTTCAAATAGCAATTGCTCGGCCGTTCATCTCGTGTTTGAACAGTACTTGACAACCTCAGTCAAAGCTGGAGAGTGGTCGAGAAGAGGTGTTTCAGGTGCTCTTGAAGTCTGGATGACGGCAGCCCTAATACGCAGAGACTGCATGCATAGAAAGTGGTGTCCGATAGCCCTGGGGCTAGTGGATTTTGCTATTGGAGTTGTGAATTATGTTTTTAACTTGCCCGTCTGACAAGTGAAGTTTTTTAGAGGAATTCAAATCACAGAAGAACTGTAATCAATCAATTCTGTTCATCAAAATGTTCTGGGGGCTAGTTGAAATGACTTTTGAGCTAGTACATGCTACAATCCTGGACAAAACTACTTGAGAAAATGTTTTCATTAATGCGCACTACCTAACGCAACAAAACTATTTCCAAATCAACGGCTTTGCGTAAAGAAAACCCCCTCCCCCCAGTTCAAAGTTGCTTCCGCTTAGGGATCCGGCTTTTTTTGAAGACCCAACAACACTGCTTCCAGGGGAAGGGGGGAGCGAAGAATCGGTTGGCTACGAAGTTTAGAAAAAATGCCCCCCAAGTATGCGATTTTCTCAACAGTTTTGTCCAAGATTGTCAGAGATATAAGGTGATTCGCGTTTTTTAGCAAGAGTATTAACACGAACAAAACGGAAACCTACTAATAAGAAAGAAATTTACAGAGGCTGTTTTGAGCACAAAGTTTCTCGGCACACCATCTTCTCATGAAAAACTACGACCTCAGATACGTTTTTTGCTGCACCCTCTAATGAAAAACAGTAAGATTTTGCAGTAGCCGTAAAACGCGTTCTCATTGTTACATGTTTTCGTGTTGCTCAAACCTGGAAGGCTTGGAAAGTGTGGAAAGTGATTTATAGTTCTCAGAAGAGTCAGAACAAGACTTGTAGGACGGTTTTCTTAGAAGAAAAGAAGTTCGTAGTGTTTAGAAAAAACGCCCCCAAGTATGCAATTTTGTCCAAGATTGTAGCTACAGTTTGCCCGAATGGCAAGTTAAAAAATTGACGTTCTTTGCACCCTGGCCCCGTCAGAGATGCATTGAAGTGCATACTATCCAGCAAAGCCTAGGAGAATGAATGTGTCAGTCTCATGTCTCTGCCAGCATTCCGCGCCCTCACTGGCTGCGATTCAACAAGCACCAACCCCTACACGGAAAGAGAAAACGGTGGATTCTTCTCAAACGTAGCACGTATCACCACAAAGCTCTCAGCCTTTTTGGTCTAAAACCAGGATCCTGCTCTACGTTGCCTCTGGGATAACTCATGCAGGAAGTCACATTGTCAAGGCAATTGCTCCTGCTCCAATTCAGGTCTGGCCTGTACAGAGGTAAGCTTGTGCTTGGCGGACGAAACGTGAAAAATCCCACGCACTGCAGCGGTGCAATATCTACCTGGTGACTCTGAGGAGAAATCAGATATTAATGACTTGAAGTAAACAGAGTGAGTAACCTCCCTCGTAAGCCTACGTGTAAAGGTGCTATTAGCAGGCAGAAAAATACATTTCTTGTGAATGAATAAAAAACTAAGCACTTATAAGATATCCTTCTATAATTCAGTAGCATCTGAGATGGACAAAAAATTCAAAAGGATTTCAGTTCTGTAACTGAAGCTCTCTAGCTGTTAAGGTGATCCAGTTAGGAGTAATCACTAGGTCTACAGGGAAGAAAAACTGAGTAATGGCATTGGTGCTTTCTCGTCTTCCTGTACGTTTGCACGTTGCATGCATTATTGCCAAAACGTCGAGTATGTGCTTCGTTCGTCTATTTAGAGCAAAATACTGCTTGGGCGTGCAAAGTAACGGTACACCGTGAGGGTGATGGCACGGACAGTGTACCACACGATATCTCCTGTTCTGCAACCGTTTTCATAGGCTTATTAAGATCTCTTCATAAGGTCGCGAGATCAAAAAACTGAAGGAAAGAATAGGACTTTAGGAGCTGTTAATTTTGATACTCAATACGAAATCAGGTGTGTGGTTCAGACTGCAAAGTCGATTTTCTTGCCCAATAAGTCAACATTAATTTGAAATAAGTTTTCCGGTGACTAAATCTTTCATGAATGGGGAAGAAGTAAATTTATTTACGCCAAAAGCGTATTTTACCTTTACTGTACTATCTCTGTTAAGAGTTTGTGACATGCGCAGAAGACATCTTTAATAATTAACGTGCCAACTTAGCAAAGAATCCAAAAGAACACAATAATGACTGTGATTGTGCAAAGGTTGTAGCGTTTTCTTAGCATTTTCTAACTCGATAAATATGATTTTTCCAAAAAATGCAACTTGTGTACACTGTGGCTTTTGGGACCAAATAAAAACCTCTTGAAAACTAAAAACCTACACCACAATTCCACGCCACTAACTACCAGGTGTTGTTCAGGGGGTCAAGCTCTACCATAATCCGCTATCAAACCTTTTCTAATCCATGGTTTGTGCGAAATCCACCACTGCTACCAGAGTTTAAGTGTCCCCCCCCCCCCCTGGGACATCATTCAAACAAATATATCCAAAGGGTCGTCCATTAATAAACAAAGATCAAAATAGGATCCATTAACATTTAACAAAGCGACAATATGCACCTTTAAGGCTCAACCTGCACTTAATATAACGTATTATATTCTGCAAGCAGAATACTGCAATACTGATCGTACTACTCTGCAAGACATCAACACGACACCGAAAGAACTCAAAACAGAGCGGGATTGTAGCCATAGACAGCTGTTTCGCCCTTTTTGTGTTGATATCTTGCAGAGTTAATTTTCACGTAGTACGATCAGCATTACAGTATTCTGCTTGCAGAATTTAATATGTCTACATTATTATTTTTGCTGACCAGGTCTTTATAGATCCTACGTTCTTCGGCATAATCGTTTGCGGTCCTTTGCTGCCCTTTGTGGTTAATTTTTGTACTTAATAAAACAAATTCTTTATTTTTGGTCTGTATAGAAAAAACGTTCCCCCCCCCTCCACAGGGGTGAAGCGTGAGGTTTTGAAGGAGTACGCGCGGAAAAAAAGGTTAGACCTCCGAAGGTACTGTAAGCCGACATCAACACTAACTTTGTTTAAGCTCAATTTACCATTTTCAAATAAACATTTATACCATTTCGAGCTTACTTCACATTAATGGCAATCAAATTCAGCAGTACTGTACACGGGTTAAGGATATCACTACTCACGTTACCATGAAAGCCGCATGCGCATAGTTAGAGTTCATGGTTCGATTTCTCGTGACATAAGTTAAACCCACACAAAGTAGTTAAAAATCAATGGATCTGCCTTGGGACAGTCAATGAGAATTGCAAGTTTCACTATTTTCCAAAGGTAACCTTTTGGATAAGAAATGGTTCAAACTTTGTATAGCGCTATCCACCGAATAAGTGTAAAGGTCTATTCCCGGGGGGGGAGGGGGGGTACTCCCTTATAAGGGCTTAATGGGGACGCGCGGCCAGACAGGGTATGTTTTTTGGTATTTTTATCTTAAACAGGGTATCGATTTTCTCGTTTTTTTGTCTTAATCAGGGTATCAATTTTATCAATTTTTGTCTTAAACAGGGTATCTTTTCTTGGACGATAAACAGCTTGCGTGACTCTGTTGATCAAGCTGTAAATAGTTTTGTGATTGCCAATGGATTAAATAAGAAAGAGTTTCGATATTTATTATTGTCTTACACAGGGTATGGTTTCGGGTTAAATGTTTTAAACAGGGTATCAAAAATCGGAATTCTGTCTTAAACAGGGTCAGGCTATGAGGGGCCGGGCCGCACCTCCCCACCCAAGGATATATCGAGTACCCCCCAGGGGTCTATTAAGGAAACCAATTGCGTTATCCACTGGATAGTGATTTAGTGGTACGTGGGCGCAGTGGATAGCGTTATCCACCTTTCGAAGAACTGGGACCTGGGTTGATAAATGTTCCAGTGTGAAAGTAGTGAACACGGTTGAGATGCAATAAATAATTTCAGCCTTAAATCAGGTATGTCTTTAGTTCATCCGAAATAAAATCTTAGACATGGTGTCCTTTTTAACGTGTTCTATTGTTAAAAAGCATGACTTATAGAAAATCTTGTGTTAGAGTCAGTCATGTAGTGAATAAGCGATTCAATTGTTTGCGCCAATTCAGGAGGGTGTAGTCCGTGAGAACTTTGCAACACAAAATACCGACGCAGAAGACAACAACTACCTGAAAACGGGAACTCATTCCCTCCTTGCCTGTTAAACGTATTTGCGGAGAAGAAAAATGCCTTAATTTGATCCAAACAATATGCAAAGGCTGATGAAGTCAGCTTTCAGTTTTCATTTTCCGCTTAATCGATTTCAGATCGTTTCCGCGACCAACATTCGCGGTGTCCACGGCGAAATTTCAGGTCTGCTTTTACTTTTATAACACATGTATTTGCTAAACTTTATTAAAGCAACTACACAACTTTATGGCCTAAAATAATAGCTTAAAATAATGACGATTCAGTCTAATAATCTCTACTGATGTTCGTGCATATTTTAAAAGTTACTTGATGTCAAAGAATCCGTTTAGCATCTAGCAAGCTACTTCAAAGTTTCGGCGATTTCTTGATTCAATATCAAAGTACTACTGTATTATGGGAACAAAAGTAAGAGAACTTTTGCCGCCAAAATCTTTGCGAATTTCGATTTCACTTGCTTGTCAACGTAAATGCTTTTCTTGAAGTCTTGTTTGTAATTTAATTCCCCGGTTTAATTGTAGCATGACGGAAATTTTAGACAAAACATGCCGTTGAACGCGTCAGTCAGCCAAAAAAGCAGTACCATCGTAAAGGACCATTCAATGGAAAGATGTATCTCTACCTTAAGCCCCGTGCAAACGGACGCAACGTTGTTGGCTATCTCCCAACATTGTTGGATGTTACATGTCGCGTCCGTTTGCACACCCTCTTGAATGTTTTTGCGTGTTGTTGGAAGTTGTTACATCCGTTTGCACACTACTACATTACGAACGCAACAACTTCTGCCATTATTGGCTCAACATGTTGGGAGTTGTTGCGTCCGTTTGCATATAGCTAAACGTTTGACCGGTTTCAAACTTTGTGCAACAACATGCAACAGGGGGTGTGCAAACGGACGAAACATGTAACATCCAACAATGTTGAGTCCGTTTACCCAGGGCTTTAGAAGCCAGACTTCAGTATACTATAGCAAAATTCGACTGCAAAATATTGTTCTCCTAGGTTGAACATGAATTGAGCACGGGTTCCTTTTCATGGCTTCCGCGACACCTGCAACTCCATCAACAAAAGAAACAACTAATTATGCCAGGTTATGCCGTGTTCTTGTCGATGTGGGCACTTGTGCCCTCAGGGATTGCTTTGATGCCATCTGTTTGCCACCGACTCTTAACACGGTCTTGGCGGCCAGTCAACCCGTATTGCATTCTTTCAGGTCGCGAAGAATCATCAATGCAACACAATGGGGAAAGCTTTTTCCTGCAGTCCCTGCATCAGTATCTTCAAGAGATTTCGACATCACTTTACTCATTATTCTATTAAGGAACATATGTGGTCTGGCTCCACCACTCACGGGATGGGACGCCCTGCCTGCGACCACGGACGTCAGCCGCGAAGCAGACATTGCACGAGTCAAATACTTCAGAAATACAGTGTACGGTCACGCTGAACACGCTTCTGTTGATGATGCAACATTCAACAAACACTGGAAGGAAATCCGGGACACCCTGGTGCGACTGGGAGGAGTTACCTATGAGGTAAAAAACTCATTTTTTTTCTTTCATATTCATTTTGAACAAGAGTTTTGAACTGCAATGGCTCACCAAAGCACTGTTTTACATGTTCTCCGTTCTATTTCAAGGTCGCTATTGACAACCTGGAATTTTGCTGTATGGATCCCGATATGGAGTGCCATTACAAAAACCTCCTTCATCAGTGGAAAAATGATGAAGATACTGTAAAAGATGAATTGAAAAAAATTGGATCCGACGTTGAAGAATTTAGCACGGGCATTAAAGAAATTGGTACCAACGTAAAAAATCTCTCTAAGAAGCTTGATGACTTGGTGGTAGCAACGATGATTCCTGCCAGGGAAGCAAATGATGAAGGTGAGTATATTTTAAGAGCTATTGTGACAAAGCCGAAGAATTGAAATGTTTGCTAGCAAAAATAAACTGAAACAAATTGCTTTTCAATGACATATGGATTTGGCCAGGGCTAAAAGCGAAGCTTTCGATAATATTTATAGTTTGTTCAAACAAAATATAAAATCGTGTAATGCTAAGTGGCGAAGGCAACGCCGGAGAACGGTGAAAAACAACAATAGGTCTAATTGGCAAAAAAGTAACTTTGCATGCACGTGCAGCACATTTTTTTGTACATTTCTTTGCCGTTGTTTTGCACGACTACAACGTGAAACTTCCAGAAACTTCTAAATTACAAGTTTTTTGGAGGAAATGTCGTACGTGTTCTCGTTCACTTTTTTTTTTTCACTGCCGCTCATTTTCACCTTGCATTGGTGGCCACTAGCAATTCTCCTTTTGTCACCGCCGCTACAAAATTTTCATGTTGTTCTTCCAACAAAAAAATGTCTCCTTTGTTTTTTATCTTTTGCCCTAAATCTCTGTCGCCCTTTTTCTCATTGAGCTTCGCTGGCCTGCCGCCTATACTTTCTCTTTTCCTCTGTCTTTCTCGATCTTGCTCTATATTCCAAATTTGTGGACATGACAATTAATCTAAGCTTAATACTTTAGACAACACGGATACAGAAACAATTTCCACTTTCCGTTTTCGGCTTTATTGATTATATAACCTAGAGTTGCATTTGGGTTGCCATACCTGTTGAGTTATTCTACATTGGTATGCCTGTGGTGCGGACGGACGGTCGTTCGGTCGGTGTACGGTCACGTGATTACCAAACTTTAGGGGATGGATAGATTTTCTTACCCAAGGTGCTCCGCAACGCGCAAGGGAGAGCTCCGCTACTAGTTTGCAATAGAGCAATTGCACGATGACGTCATTTTACTACAACTACCAGAATCTTCGAGTTTGTTGTTTTCTTATGCAAATTAAGGCCATTGTTCTTTAATCCTCAGCGGGATTGACAAATTTAAATGAGGCTGAGATGGGGGGTATCGTGAGCAAGGTCTCCTGAACGAAAAAGTTTCCAGTGGCGAGAAATATGTCCGCTAATAAAATATGTGATGACATCATGACGTTGATAAGACCACTCCTATGTTAACGTAACAAATCATTCATATCAAATTTTCATCTTTAACTAATATAGCAGTGGTGATTGTTTTCCCAACTTTTTGTTAATGGCGACGCAGTTTTTGCTCAAACTTGGGAGGTAGTGTCCCTAAAAAAATCTCGTCGAGCAACCTTACGTAACGTTATCGTATTTCGTTTTTCATAAGGTAATGGGATAAAACCGACTGAGATACTGGAAACCTCGTCTGTGTGCACAAAGAAATCTCACGAGAATGAACCTCTGACGTTTTACTGTGAACAGTGCAAAGAGTGCATTTGTGACAAATGTAGACGGACGCGTCACAATCATCACCCGACTTTGGATATCCATCAAGCCGCAGAACAACACAAAATCGATATTGAGGAGATTGTAGAGAAAATGAAGAGAGAAATTGCTCATTATGAAGAGTACGCAGAAAGTACGAGAGAATCTTTAAAAAGAAGCAGAGAAAGGATTACTACAGTACGCAAGGAAGTAATGACATCTGCTCAAGAGCTCAGACGACTTCTAGATGAACATGAAAAAGCCATGAAAACCAGTTTAGATAAAATTGAGAGGAAAGAACAGAGAGAGCACGAAGCGAAACTACAACATTATCAAGGTCCTATTAATCAGCTACAAGATCATGTCGAGAGGTTTGAGAACATCTTACAGAGGGAGAAAAGCGCTGAAATTTTGCAAGCCAATCATGATCTCATTGAAAGGTGCAGAGGTCTTTTAAATGCAGAGAGACTGAACATTCATGAACCATCGCATACAAGATACGAGGAAAATAAAGAGAATGTGGAGAAAGCGAGAAGTGCACTTTTGGCCTTGGGTAAAGTTACTGTCATTACCACAGATCCTCTGACGTCGATGGGCTTACATGAATTTGAATTAGGAAGCGAAAAGACATTTAAAATAACGACAAATGATGCTGATGGGAACCGATGCTACAATGAACAAGATCTGCTTAATGTGGAATTTCAGTCACCCTCAGGACAAGTAGTGAGACCCAAGATTGTACCCAGCAAAAACGGTGAATACAGTGTCACTTACAAACCAGATAATGTTGGAAAACATAAATTGCTGATTGCGGTTAACGGTGAGCCATTGACTGGTAGTCCATGGCGTGTTCATGTGACTCCACATCGTTACAAATATTTAACTTCGTTATTTAGGAAAAGACAAAAAGAATGTGATTGTCCCTCTTCTATCGCAGTAGATGAGAAGTCGGACAATGTTGCAGTGACCTATTATGAAGATAGCGTTCAGCTATTTCAGTTACAAGGAACGTGTCTAACAGCAATAAAGCAGATTGGTGTACCTAGACCAACATCAGTGGCATTCACCAAGTCAGGTGAACTCATAGTTGTTGCTTCTAATAAGATTGCATGTTACGATGAAAGCTATAAATTTATAAAACACCTCAACAACAGACATCTTAAGAAACCAGGACATCTGTCTATTGCACCTGATGGACGCATGGTGGTGTGTGACTCGGGTTACAATGCAGTTAATGTTCTGTCCTCAGATGGTTTACGGCTGTTACTCACCATTAGTGATCCTAATCATGTTACTCCATGGTATGCTGTGTTTCATCAGAATATGTTTTTTGTTTCCTATCCTGAATTAGGTAGGGTTAAGCTTTTCAGCGAGGATGGGGTGTTTCTGTACAACATCGGGCCTTCGGGGTCTGGTGATGGACACCTGAGCTGTCCTGTTGGCTTTGCGATTGACAGGTTTAACAACCTGGTGGTATGTGATCAGCATAAAGCAAGACTTCAGATATTTACTCTTGACGGGAAATTTTTAAATACAATAGAAGGACAACAAGCTGGTTTTACTGGTCCTTGCTCTGTTGCTGTGTCAAGCACTGGCCAGCTGTTTGTTACTGATGTGGACGAAGACTGTGTGTATACCTTCCAGTAACTGAGAACGAATTTAAATTATCATCGCACTGAAGTTAGTAACAGTACAATTTAACTGAACCGTAAATCAATTTCAGTTATTGACTTAATCGTCCAGATAAGTATTTCTTTTACCTAGAAGCCCCAGGGATACTATATGATTTGTGAGGTGTTTGGCGGTGTGCCACTGGGTGACTGAAACCTATACCAGACGATGTCAGCTGCATTTTACTTTCCAATTCTGAATAAGGCACCAAATGTTCCTTCCCTATCCCAGACTAACTCTAAACCAGAAACTTATTTCTTAAACCAAAGGTCAAATCACCATTACTAATACCTTATTCTAGGCTAAAACCCTTCTTCAAACTATCTAAATCTAAGCTGCTTAAAAACTGTAACCATTGCAGTGGCACATTTCATTATAGCCCCTATCCCCAAATCAAGTCCACTACAATAAAACAATAGAGTTTATGTACTAGAGCGTCATAAATATGTTTTGAGCACGAAACTGGCTAGAATTTACAATTTCGTGTCATTTAAGTTTTACAAAATTATACTAGACATGAAAGCTTGTTTGTAATTATTTTAATAGAAATATACATGTGTACAAATGTTAAACTAACAGTTTGGCATGGAACTGGGTGCGTTGGCTTGAAGCCGCAAAACTCTAATACATGACTTCGTCGCCGACTATGGAGTATGGAGACCTATGAAGCTACTACAAGCGTTATTTACATCAGCGAAGCTTCTTTGACTTTTGTAGATCGTCTTCCCCTAGATGAAAATATTGAGAAATGACAAATTGTCTGTTGCTTTCTGTGTTTTCAGCCATGATTTGGGCTTTGAAAATGGCATCGTGATTTCTTTGACAAAGAATGCAAGAAAACGGTGCAATCATTGCAATGGCTTCCAGTCTCGATTTCGACTGGCTTCTTACATCGTATAACTGTTTGATCCTCTCTTTTCATTTGTGTATTTCAGCAGGCTGACTGAAATATATTTTAGCCCGCCAAATTCTCCATTTTAGCCCGCAAAATGCGCAACAATGCCTTACAAAGTGCATAATAATAAGCATTCAAACGAGACTTCTCGGGGCATTCCAGCATGGAAGTTAAGATCTTTTTAAACCATCATTAAATAAACGTATGGCCGGATTTTTTCATCATAAATAATATTTCAATTCGAAGATTTTAAATAATGTAAATGGCAACACTTGTTCCTAAACGGTTGTGATAAAGTTAAAATGGACAGTAACCTATGTTATTTTTGTAATACGGCAACCTGTATTTACCCTAATTGAATCTTTATTAAACAAGCTTATGACTTGCATATAGTGTTTTTATTTCCAGTTGGCCAGGAAAGCAGACTTTGTTCTGTGTCAGTGTTTTCTGTGCGATATGGTGCCTATTCTCTTGGACCGGTCATTATTTATGTACGGGGGAGGAAAAAAAAGGGAGGGGTCAAAGCTATTTCAGATTGGCAAGAGGAGGAGCTAAACTCTTTTATAAAGAAGTTAAGGGGGTCAGCAGTTTGATCGCAAGTTATATTTCCCAAATTTCCAAATATTCATTCTGCTCTTTGTTCCAGTCATATATTTGACCATTGTCACTGAACTGTTCACCATAACTTTCTTCAGCTAAAACTTTTTCCTTTAAAAACCTCTTCTTCCAAACTTGACAAGTCTTTGACTCCTCGCTCACAGTTTAGTATGGTCCAGTATGTCTAAAGGACTTGAAAGGGAGGTTAGATATTTGCCAAAGCGGGCATTATTGTCATCAGACAACATGTATTTCAGCTTCCTCTCCACTTTCTCTATCATGTTCTTTATGTCCCACCTCTTGCCACGCTCCATGATTAAATAAGTCTCAAATCCTGATTCTCTCATAGGACATCTTGCCTCAAACAACCTAGGTAAAAACTGGACACTGGTCTGCGCAAGACACTGATTTTGTAATAGAGTGCGTTACGTTCATTGTTATGCAAAGTAATTGTTACATGCATTTTAATAATTACTTTGTAGAGCATATAAGAGGAGATATGATCTTTTCAACAAATTTTTCCCTCCCCTCCCCTACATAAATAATGACCGGTCCCTTAATAACCTGCCTCATAGAGTTAAAAAAAAAAAAGGCCATCTGTATTCTGCTTTGATCACGTGAAGCATGCCCATGTTTTAAGCAAGTAAAAGATACCTCATTCTTAGGGGCCAGGGGTACTGCATTATATGGGCTATATATGTATGTGCCGCTGTGAAGGGTACGGTTTTCAAGCGGCTTACTCTGGGATAGGTATATGAATCAGAGAGTTTGGGTCCAGAATAGGGTATCATTTTCCAGGAAACTGATCAATTGGTTGAAGTTTTTAGTCTATACTATGGAACTGGAAATTGCCACTCAAAAAATATGAAAAATCAAATCGGCAAGTTTAAATTTACGCAACTCAGCCTAAAAGCTAACAGGATAGTGGGGGATTTAGGGAGTTTAGTCTGAGTAGTATAGGGTAGCAAAACTCAGCTGAACTAGCTCTGGTATGGGCTAAGGGTTCCAGGGTCTCAGCGGATCATCGCCACCCAAAAATTCCTTTAATAATCTGGTAGCAGAGGCCAGAAAATAAGGCCTCCTGAATGATCGTGGTAGTTAGTTGAGTGGAATTGTTGTATACGTTTTTAGTTAAGGTTTTGATTCCGGTCCCAAAACGACAGTACCAAAGTCTCATCTTTTGGAGAAAATATTTATCTACTTTGAAATGCTAAGGAAACGCATTAAATCTTATCTAATCACAATTTTTGGTGTTAGGTTTGTGTGAAAGCTAATTGTAAGCTAATTTTGCAATATTAGCCATGATATGTTTTCTACTGCTGTCAAAAGGTGTTTGTAGTGAGTGGTAGAAATTCGAAGTACGTCAGACGGCCTCCCGTCGTTTAGCGTACCCTATACATCCCAATAACAGTTATGTAGTACTTTGATAAAAATCAGTGGTAAGAGATTACTTCTATAGATAATGGTCTAAAATAACCTTGGCTTGGTATTTTCATGCTGTGGTCCGTAATGACTTTCATGATATTTCGCTATCCTTCGCAAATGAAATAATAAAACAATTTTCATCGATCTTATCGATATTGATTTATCGTTGATATGTAAATGCGCTACTACTTGGATGATCTCAAAATTATTGTAAAACGTTGAAATAATGGGCAAAAGGGAGAAAAATGCTTTTGACTCTAACACCAAACTGAATGGGAAGGCTTTTGAAACAGAACAAGGCAAGTACATCTCAAATCAGCAGATGAAAGAGTTTATAAAAGTGAAAGCCTACCTAGATCTATTCAGACGTTTGCTTATCTTAGCCAACGCAAGGCACACCAACCTCGAGACGTTCTTTCGTATGAGTTACATGTATCTCCATCCCCCTGTTCACCAGTTCACAACGATGGAAGCCTAAGAAAACCTATAAAAAGTGACCCATCAGTTGTGGAAGAGGGAAGTCATTGCTGTCCAGCAAGTCTTCCAGCTCCAGCACACAACTTTATTGCTCATATCATGGATGATATGGCCTTTATACAGGTGCATAAATCCATTCGAGCCAGCACATTTAGTGCGAGCCAGTTAGCCTCCACATACTTCATTATCATTGTAGCATAGCTTTCAAATAGCAATTGCTCGGCCGTTCATCTCGTGTTTGAACAGTACTTGACAACCTCAGTCAAAGCTGGAGAGTGGTCGAGAAGAGGTGTTTCAGGTGCTCTTGAAGTCTGGATGACGGCAGCCCTAATACGCAGAGACTGCATGCATAGAAAGTGGTGTCCGATAGCCCTGGGGCTAGTGGATTTTGCTATTGGAGTTGTGAATTATGTTTTTAACTTGCCCGTCTGACAAGTGAAGTTTTTTAGAGGAATTCAAATCACAGAAGAACTGTAATCAATCAATTCTGTTCATCAAAATGTTCTGGGGGCTAGTTGAAATGACTTTTGAGCTAGTACATGCTACAATCCTGGACAAAACTACTTGAGAAAATGTTTTCATTAATGCGCACTACCTAACGCAACAAAACTATTTCCAAATCAACGGCTTTGCGTAAAAGAAACCCCTCCCCCAGTTCAAAGTTGCTTCCGCTTAGGGATCCGGCTTTTTTGAAGACCCAACAACACTGCTTCCAGGGGAAGGGGGAGCGAAGAATCGGTTGGCTACGAAGTTTAGAAAAAATGCCCCCAAGTATGCGATTTTCTCAACAGTTTTGTCCAAGATTGTCAGAGATATAAGGTGATTCGCGTTTTTAGCAAGAGTATTAACACGAACAAAACGGAAACCTACTAATAAGAAAGAAATTTACAGAGGCTGTTTTGAGCACAAAGTTTCTCGGCACACCATCTTCTCATGAAAAACTACGACCTCAGATACGTTTTTGCTGCACCCTCTAATGAAAAACAGTAAGATTTTGCAGTAGCCGTAAAACGCGTTCTCATTGTTACATGTTTTCGTGTTGCTCAAACCTGGAAGGCTTGGAAAGTGTGGAAAGTGATTTATAGTTCTCAGAAGAGTCAGAACAAGACTTGTAGGACGGTTTTCTTAGAAGAAAAGAAGTTCGTAGTGTTTAGAAAAAACGCCCCCAAGTATGCAATTTTGTCCAAGATTGTAGCTACAGTTTGCCCGAATGGCAAGTTAAAAATTGACGTTCTTTGCACCCTGGCCCCGTCAGAGATGCATTGAAGTGCATACTATCCAGCAAAGCCTAGGAGAATGAATGTGTCAGTCTCATGTCTCTGCCAGCATTCCGCGCCCTCACTGGCTGCGATTCAACAAGCACCAACCCCTACACGGAAAGAGAAAACGGTGGATTCTTCTCAAACGTAGCACGTATCACCACAAAGCTCTCAGCCTTTTGTCTAAAACCAGGATCCTGCTCTACGTTGCCTCTGGGATAACTCATGCAGGAAGTCACATTGTCAAGGCAATTGCTCCTGCTCCAATTCAGGTCTGGCCTGTACAGAGGTAAGCTTGTGCTTGGCGGACGAAACGTGAAAATCCCACGCACTGCAGCGGTGCAATATCTACCTGGTGACTCTGAGGAGAAATCAGATATTAATGACTTGAAGTAAACAGAGTGAGTAACCTCCCTCGTAAGCCTACGTGTAAAGGTGCTATTAGCAGGCAGAAAAATACATTTCTTGTGAATGAATAAAAACTAAGCACTTATAAGATATCCTTCTATAATTCAGTAGCATCTGAGATGGACAAAAATTCAAAAGGATTTCAGTTCTGTAACTGAAGCTCTCTAGCTGTTAAGGTGATCCAGTTAGGAGTAATCACTAGGTCTACAGGGAAGAAAAACTGAGTAATGGCATTGGTGCTTTTCTCGTCTTCCTGTACGTTTGCACGTTGCATGCATTATTGCCAAAACGTCGAGTATGTGCTTCGTTCGTCTATTTAGAGCAAAATACTGCTTGGGCGTGCAAAGTAACGGTACACCGTGAGGGTGATGGCACGGACAGTGTACCACACGATATCTCCTGTTCTGCAAACCGTTTTCATAGGCTTATTAAGATCTCTTCATAAGGTCGCGAGATCAAAAACTGAAGGAAAGAATAGGACTTTAGGAGCTGTTAATTTTGATACTCAATACGAAATCAGGTGTGTGGTTCAGACTGCAAAGTCGATTTTCTTGCCCAATAAGTCAACATTAATTTGAAATAAGTTTTCCGGTGACTAAATCTTTCATGAATGGGGAAGAAGTAAATTTATTTACGCCAAAAGCGTATTTTACCTTTACTGTACTATCTCTGTTAAGAGTTTGTGACATGCGCAGAAGACATCTTTAATAATTAACGTGCCAACTTAGCAAAGAATCCAAAAGAACACAATAATGACTGTGATTGTGCAAAGGTTGTAGCGTTTTCTTAGCATTTTCTAACTCGATAAATATGATTTTTCCAAAAATGCAACTTGTGTACACTGTGGCTTTTGGGACCAAATAAAAACCTCTTGAAAACTAAAAACCTACACCACAATTCCACGCCACTAACTACCAGGTGTTGTTCAGGGGGTCAAGCTCTACCATAATCCGCTATCAAACCTTTTCTAATCCATGGTTTGTGCGAAATCCACCACTGCTACCAGAGTTTAAGTGTCCCCCCGCCCCCTGGGACATCATTCAAACAAATATATCCAAAGGGTCGTCCATTAATAAACAAAGATCAAAATAGGATCCATTAACATTTAACAAAGCGACAATATGCACCTTTAAGGCTCAACCTGCACTTAATATAACGTATTATATTCTGCAAGCAGAATACTGCAATACTGATCGTACTACTCTGCAAGACATCAACACGACACCGAAAGAACTCAAAACAGAGCGGGATTGTAGCCATAGACAGCTGTTTCGCCCTTTTTGTGTTGATATCTTGCAGAGTTAATTTTCACGTAGTACGATCAGCATTACAGTATTCTGCTTGCAGAATTTAATATGTCTACATTATTATTTTTGCTGACCAGGTCTTTATAGATCCTACGTTCTTCGGCATAATCGTTTGCGGTCCTTTGCTGCCCTTTGTGGTTAATTTTTGTACTTAATAAAACAAATTCTTTATTTTTGGTCTGTATAGAAAAAACGTTCCCCACCCCCCCCTCCACAGGGGTGAAGCGTGAGGTTTTGAAGGAGTACGCGCGGAAAAAAAGGTTAGACCTCCGAAGGTACTGTAAGCCGACATCAACACTAACTTTGTTTAAGCTCAATTTACCATTTTCAAATAAACATTTATACCATTTCGAGCTTACTTCACATTAATGGCAATCAAATTCAGCAGTACTGTACACGGGTTAAGGATATCACTACTCACGTTACCATGAAAGCCGCATGCGCATAGTTAGAGTTCATGGTTCGATTTCTCGTGACATAAGTTAAACCCACACAAAGTAGTTAAAAATCAATGGATCTGCCTTGGGACAGTCAATGAGAATTGCAAGTTTCACTATTTTCCAAAGGTAACCTTTTGGATAAGAAATGGTTCAAACTTTGTATAGCGCTATCCACCGAATAAGTGTAAAGGTCTATTCCCGGGGGGGGAGGGGGGGTACTCCCTTATAAGGGCTTAATGGGGACGCGCGGCCAGACAGGGTATGTTTTTTGGTATTTTTATCTTAAACAGGGTATCGATTTTCTCGTTTTTTTTGTCTTAATCAGGGTATCAATTTTATCAATTTTTGTCTTAAACAGGGTATCTTTTCTTGGACGATAAACAGCTTGCGTGACTCTGTTGATCAAGCTGTAAATAGTTTTGTGATTGCCAATGGATTAAATAAGAAAGAGTTTCGATATTTATTATTGTCTTACACAGGGTATGGTTTCGGGTTAAATGTTTTAAACAGGGTATCAAAAATCGGAATTCTGTCTTAAACAGGGTCAGGCTATGAGGGGCCGGGCCGCACCTCCCCACCCAAGGATATATCGAGTACCCCCAGGGTCTATTAAGGAAACCAATTGCGTTATCCACTGGATAGTGATTTAGTGGTACGTGGGCGCAGTGGATAGCGTTATCCACCTTTCGAAGAACTGGGACCTGGGTTGATAAATGTTCCAGTGTGAAAGTAGTGAACACGGTTGAGATGCAATAAATAATTTCAGCCTTAAATCAGGTATGTCTTTAGTTCATCCGAAATAAAATCTTAGACATGGTGTCCTTTTAACGTGTTCTATTGTTAAAAAGCATGACTTATAGAAAATCTTGTGTTAGAGTCAGTCATGTAGTGAATAAGCGATTCAATTGTTTGCGCCAATTCAGGAGGGTGTAGTCCGTGAGAACTTTGCAACACAAAATACCGACGCAGAAGACAACAACTACCTGAAAACGGGAACTCATTCCCTCCTTGCCTGTTAAACGTATTTGCGGAGAAGAAAAATGCCTTAATTTGATCCAAACAATATGCAAAGGCTGATGAAGTCAGCTTTCAGTTTTCATTTTCCGCTTAATCGATTTCAGATCGTTTCCGCGACCAACATTCGCGGTGTCCACGGCGAAATTTCAGGTCTGCTTTTTACTTTTATAACACATGTATTTGCTAAACTTTATTAAAGCAACTACACAACTTTATGGCCTAAAATAATAGCTTAAAATAATGACGATTCAGTCTAATAATCTCTACTGATGTTCGTGCATATTTTAAAAGTTACTTGATGTCAAAGAATCCGTTTAGCATCTAGCAAGCTACTTCAAAGTTTCGGCGATTTCTTGATTCAATATCAAAGTACTACTGTATTATGGGAACAAAAGTAAGAGAACTTTTGCCGCCAAAATCTTTGCGAATTTCGATTTCACTTGCTTGTCAACGTAAATGCTTTTCTTGAAGTCTTGTTTGTAATTTAATTCCCCGGTTTAATTGTAGCATGACGGAAATTTTAGACAAAACATGCCGTTGAACGCGTCAGTCAGCCAAAAAAGCAGTACCATCGTAAAGGACCATTCAATGGAAAGATGTATCTCTACCTTAAGCCCCGTGCAAACGGACGCAACGTTGTTGGCTATCTCCCAACATTGTTGGATGTTACATGTCGCGTCCGTTTGCACACCCTCTTGAATGTTTTTGCGTGTTGTTGGAAGTTGTTACATCCGTTTGCACACTACTACATTACGAACGCAACAACTTCTGCCATTATTGGCTCAACATGTTGGGAGTTGTTGCGTCCGTTTGCATATAGCTAAACGTTTGACCGGTTTCAAACTTTGTGCAACAACAACAGGGGTGTGCAAACGGACGAAACATGTAACATCCAACAATGTTGAGTCCGTTTACCCAGGGCTTTAGAAGCCAGACTTCAGTATACTATAGCAAAATTCGACTGCAAAATATTGTTCTCCTAGGTTGAACATGAATTGAGCACGGGTTCCTTTTCATGGCTTCCGCGACACCTGCAACTCCATCAACAAAAGAAACAACTAATTATGCCAGGTTATGCCGTGTTCTTGTCGATGTGGGCACTTGTGCCCTCAGGGATTGCTTTGATGCCATCTGTTTGCCACCGACTCTTAACACGGTCTTGGCGGCCAGTCAACCCGTATTGCATTCTTTCAGGTCGCGAAGAATCATCAATGCAACACAATGGGGAAAGCTTTTTCCTGCAGTCCCTGCATCAGTATCTTCAAGAGATTTCGACATCACTTTACTCATTATTCTATTAAGGAACATATGTGGTCTGGCTCCACCACTCACGGGATGGGACGCCCTGCCTGCGACCACGGACGTCAGCCGCGAAGCAGACATTGCACGAGTCAAATACTTCAGAAATACAGTGTACGGTCACGCTGAACACGCTTCTGTTGATGATGCAACATTCAACAAACACTGGAAGGAAATCCGGGACACCCTGGTGCGACTGGGAGGAGTTACCTATGAGGTAAAAAACTCATTTTTTTTCTTTCATATTCATTTTGAACAAGAGTTTTGAACTGCAATGGCTCACCAAAGCACTGTTTTACATGTTCTCCGTTCTATTTCAAGGTCGCTATTGACAACCTGGAATTTTGCTGTATGGATCCCGATATGGAGTGCCATTACAAAAACCTCCTTCATCAGTGGAAAAATGATGAAGATACTGTAAAAGATGAATTGAAAAAAAATTGGATCCGACGTTGAAGAATTTAGCACGGGCATTAAAGAAATTGGTACCAACGTAAAAAATCTCTCTAAGAAGCTTGATGACTTGGTGGTAGCAACGATGATTCCTGCCAGGGAAGCAAATGATGAAGGTGAGTATATTTTAAGAGCTATTGTGACAAAGCCGAAGAATTGAAATGTTTGCTAGCAAAAATAAACTGAAACAAATTGCTTTTCAATGACATATGGATTTGGCCAGGGCTAAAAGCGAAGCTTTCGATAATATTTATAGTTTGTTCAAACAAAATATAAAATCGTGTAATGCTAAGTGGCGAAGGCAACGCCGGAGAACGGTGAAAAACAACAATAGGTCTAATTGGCAAAAAAGTAACTTTGCATGCACGTGCAGCACATTTTTTTGTACATTTCTTTGCCGTTGTTTTGCACGACTACAACGTGAAACTTCCAGAAACTTCTAAATTACAAGTTTTTTGGAGGAAATGTCGTACGTGTTCTCGTTCACTTTTTTTTTTTCACTGCCGCTCATTTTCACCTTGCATTGGTGGCCACTAGCAATTCTCCTTTTGTCACCGCCGCTACAAAATTTTCATGTTGTTCTTCCAACAAAAAAATGTCTCCTTTGTTTTTTATCTTTTGCCCTAAATCTCTGTCGCCCTTTTTCTCATTGAGCTTCGCTGGCCTGCCGCCTATACTTTCTCTTTTCCTCTGTCTTTCTCGATCTTGCTCTATATTCCAAATTTGTGGACATGACAATTAATCTAAGCTTAATACTTTAGACAACACGGATACAGAAACAATTTCCACTTTCCGTTTTCGGCTTTATTGATTATATAACCTAGAGTTGCATTTGGGTTGCCATACCTGTTGAGTTATTCTACATTGGTATGCCTGTGGTGCGGACGGACGGTCGTTCGGTCGGTGTACGGTCACGTGATTACCAAACTTTAGGGGATGGATAGATTTTCTTACCCAAGGTGCTCCGCAACGCGCAAGGGAGAGCTCCGCTACTAGTTTGCAATAGAGCAATTGCACGATGACGTCATTTTACTACAACTACCAGAATCTTCGAGTTTGTTGTTTTCTTATGCAAATTAAGGCCATTGTTCTTTAATCCTCAGCGGGATTGACAAATTTAAATAACAAAGCAAAACCGAAATGAATTCCGGTAGTTGTAGTCAAATATCGTCATCGTGCAATTGTCCTATTACGTCAGTTGAGCAGCTCGCTGGCCTGGTGTCCGAAACTTTTCAAATTGGTTTGAAATAATTTACTTGTTAAGGCGCCTACAGTCCATGCACAACTATTGACGATGGTTTATCAACTGATGCAACATAATGGGGAGAACTTTTCCTTGCCACCTTTTCTTCTTTAAGAGATTTCGACATCACCTTACTCTTACGAAACAAATGTATTCTGACTACCCACTGGCTTTTGTACTAATGCTTACTCGGCCGTCCTGGCTTATATGTACGAATTAACACAAGCATTAGAAAACCATAAGCACAGCGTAGCCCCCCACGCACACGTTTTTAGGGCTATCGTCACGCGCTCCTTTCCCACACCCTAAGAACGTCTGCGTGGGAGGCTAAAGCACGGCGGGAAGAAAACAGAACGATAGCTATCTTGTGTTGGTCGTGCTTATTCTTGGCTCAAGATGACGCCAAACGCATAATTTGGACGAGGCAAAAAATAGACATCAATCAATCAGCTACTCGTCGAAACATTCCACTTTTCCGGCCATGACTGTTCCATAGAATACATTATTCCATATGACCAGTATCAGCAGCAAATTTAATACAGTACTTCTGCGCCATGTATGACATCACAGGCAGGGCGGATGAATGTTGGGCGGTGAAACGAGCGCTCCGCTCTTCAATTAATGTGTGATGAGGAGTAGGACTGGCACGAGCGCTCTTTCCGCGCTTCCGGTGCGCTTGAAGGCCGGCGAAATTTTCCTTTTTGCAAACCGGAAATCCCATTTTCTTTCTGTAATTTCAGGCTACAGTGTTAAATAGATAAATTCGTTTCATAACGATATCAATAAACAGTTTCATATGTTTGTGCCTGTATGCCTATAAGTCAAACTTGTTGGTCGTATAATGCCAAAATTTGAGTTTAATTTGAAAGTGTTGAATACCTCCTCCTTCCACTAAATATCACCTAATCGTCTTTCGCCGTTTCGTTTGCAAAAGCTTAACACTTCTTAACGTCAATGTTTACATATGTTTAAGGGGGATAAATTTTATATAACATAACAAAAAATTAGATTGATATATTTTGATATAGTGGCGTTGTACTGCTTCAAACTTTGCTTCTCGAGTGCAACGCGCCATGGCGATTCGCGCAATGCGTCGCAAATCCAGCAACCGCATGTAAACAAAATTTATTGAGGTTAGTTGTAAGGTTTTTTCTCCGTTTTTCTCTCTAAAACAAAACAAGGTAAACAGTAAAAACGGAGGGGAAACTAATTTTGAAGTTTCGAACAAACAAAGACATATGAGATGTTTTTTTCGAAATTAAAAAGAAGGATGATGGTTGAAATTGGCATAATTTCATCTTGCACGAGCTGCACGCATTTATAAAATACACGTCATCTGGTAATGAAACACGATCTGCTGTCTTTTAGTTTTGCCATGGATGACATAGATGAGATTTTCCTTCGTGTTTTAGGCAGTACTTAGTTGTTTTTGTTTTGGAATAACATCGACATTGGAGAGTAGCAGAACGAAAATATAATTCAGTGGTAGAGTCATGGAAGTAATAAAAGAAACCCTTTGAAAGAGATGTTTGTCTACTCCAACTAAACCTCCCGCAAAAATGGCAACATTTGCCTCTCGGAGACAGCGTACCAGCACAAAGGAACGAGGAAGAAGTGCAAGAAAACAAGTCAAGCCGCCATAATTCAGTGACAGCGGCACTGCACATGTCTAATGTACAACCGACATCGCAAGCCCTGACCGAAGTCGAAAACAAGCGACATTTCTAAGCAGAGTCCCAGTCCACTGCATCACACCTTTTTGCTCGGACGCGCTCGTTTCACCGCCCAACCTTTATCCGCCCTGATCACAGGCTTCCCTCCCCGTCCGCTCGCAATTTTTAGCTTTCTTTCGTCACGCTGATATACCCAACAAGAGACTGAGCCAGTTCACAGGCTATTGATGTTTGTGCTTGCGTAGTAGGTTTGAAAGAGCCGTTAGGGCAATTAGGTGTTGTTTTGCTGGCTGAAAGATTGTGTTGGAGCGCTCAAGTTCACGATAATTTTAACTCTGTAAAGCATTCTTTACGGGTTATTAAAAAAAGCAACATTGAAGACCGTGGAATGCGAAAAATAGGTTACTAGAATCTTAGTGCCTCTTGCATATTCTCAGATAGGAAGTTCGTTTGATATATTCGAATTCCGGCTTCAGTTCACATAATGACTAACCAGTTTCATTTCGTTTTTTTAAGGTAATGGCTTAAGACTGAAGGAGATTTTGGATACAACTTTGGTATGCAGAGAGAAATTTCACGAGAATGAACCTCTGACATCCTTCTGTAATCAGTGTAAAGTGTGTATTTGTAACAAGTGTAGACAAACTCGTCACAATAATCACCCCACGGAGGATATCCACCAAGCCGCAGAACAACATAAAGTTGATATCGAAGAGATTGTACAGGAAATGAAGAGAGAAATTGCAGAATATAAGGAGCATTTGGAAAAAACAAGGGAATCTTTCAAAAGAAGCCGAGAGAGAATAGCCACAGCTCGCAATAAAGTAATGACATCTGTTGAAGAACTTGTCCGACTTTTAAAAGAACACGAGAAAGCTATGATAACCAGTTTAGATGTCATCGAAGGAAAAGAACAAAGAGAGCAAGCTGCGCAGCTAGAACATTTTCAATTTTCTATGAATCAGTTACAAAAACATATCGAGTGGTGGGAGGACATCTTACTGAGGCAAAACAGCGTTGAAATTTTGCAAGCACATCACACCCTCGTGGGAAGGTGCAGAGGTCTTTTAAATTCAGACAAACTGAACATTTATAAACCACCGCATATAAGATACCAGACAAATAAAGAGCATGACGACAGTTTAAGAGATGCAATTCCTGCTTTGGGTCGAGTTGTTGGTAGCAGCACAGATCCTCTGCAGTCGGTGGCTGAAGGAACGGGGTTGAAGGAAGGTGAGGTCGGAAGGGACGCCTCATTTAAAATAACAACCAAAGATTCGGCTGGAAAACAATGTTATGATGTAGACGATTATGTACACGTGAAAGTGCAGACTCCATCAGGAGAGGAGTTAACCAACGTAATAGTAGCTGGCAAAGACGGAGAATACAGCGTCACTTACACCCCAAATTGTGATGGACAACATGACGTACTGGTTGCGGTGAACTGCCAGCCACTGTCTGCTAGTCCATGGCGTGTACATGTGGAGCCGCATAGTTACAAATCCGTAGTCTCTTTTAATTTACAGGGAAAAGAGAAAAGACAGTTTAATCCCTTAGACATTGCGATACATGACAAGCTAAGGAACGTTGCAGTGGCAGATTACTGGAATGGTGTACACCTTGTTAAGTTAGAAGGAACAAGTCATAAGGTTTATAAAACACACAAACTAACTATTCCAACTGCAGTAGCATTTTCCAGGTCAGGTGAACTCATAGTCATTGCTTCTAAGAAGATTTTTCGTTTTAATGAAAACGATAAATTTATAGGATATGTCACCAAAACACACCTCAGGGAACCAAAACATCTAACCATTGCACGCGATGGATGCATGGTGGTGTGTGACTGGGGTGACCATGCAGTCAAGGTTCTGTCCTCTGACGGTTCACAGCTGCTACTCACTATCAGTGATCCTGATAGTACGTGCCCATGGCTTAGTGTGTGTCATCAGAACATGTTTTTTGTCTCCTATCCTGTTGCAGGTTGCGTTAAGGTATTCAGCGAGGATGGTGGGTGTTTGAGAAGTATCGGGATGTCCGAATCTGATGACGGACGACTGACTCTTCCTCTAGGTCTTGCAATTGACAGGTTTAATAACCTAGTAGTGTGCGATTATGTTAAAAGGCGGCTTCAGATTTTCACTGTTGACGGAAAATTTGTAAACTCAATAGAAGGACAACACACCGGTTTATGTGAACCCTATTCTGTTGCTGTGTCAAGCACTGGCCAGCTGTTTGTTACTGATGTAGACAGAAACCGATTGCATATTTTCCAGTAAGAAATGGAAACGGAGCGCCTACGGTATTAACGCACAGGTTTTTGGCGTATCGGTATCAGAAATCGAACAAGCGAGCGCAGAGAACTTAAAGAGATCTCTAATACAAAAACAACAATTGCGTAAATACGTTACAAAGCACTTTTCATGTGGTATTGTGTTTATTATATACATACTGAGACATTCACCCGTTCTTCTAGTCTTCTGTTTTAAATTTTTTAAAAATGCTAAAATGTTAAACTAGCCGCTACACATCGTATTTCAACGACTGTAGTAATAAAAATTACATTAAGAGTAAAGATATAAGGGGAAAAGGAATTACAAGTGATCTAAATTTTTTGCTCTGACTCTGCAGTTAAAAATGATCGAATGCAAAATCAGGTGGCAATTTGAGTGAAATGGCCGGTATGAATGACAGAAGACAAAGAAAGGTTGATCAAAATTAATTTTCTATTGCTAGGACAAAGGTTGTCGGAAAAAGTGCACGCGACAATCCCGAAAAGTATTGTGGCTTGTTTTAAGTTCACTGTTCTTCAAAGAAATTTGAAAGAATGGCACGAGAGGCCATGAACATATGTTTTCGACTGTTAAAAAGAAAGCAACAAAAGTAGGTTCGACAGCTACAGTCGACAGGAACAGTGTACTGATCATATCCCATATTACCTTTCGGGATTGTCGCGTGCACATTTTTTCCGACAACCTTCTCGAAATAGCTGTATGTTGATCCAGTGACTTATGTCACTTAAAATTACGGAAATCTTTTCCAAGGTCATAAGAAAATCAATCTAGTGCGTCCAATCAGAACAGGAGCTATAGGAAACATGGGTTTCGACTTAATAAACGTTAAGTTTCTGTTGAAGTAGTCCAATTTTCATTATTTCATTAGTGTTCCATTATCTCTAAGGGAGGCAGGAGGTCAACGAGCTTGGTCATGTTTTCTCAAAGTTTCGTTGTTAGACTTGAGTGAACCACACAAAATCCATCCCATTGTCGTTTTAATCGTACCAGGGCGTACCGTCTCACTAAGAAATCTGCAGTTTGCATTTCTCTTGAGAAGCCAATTTGATCTTATCAAAATGGGGCCATACACTGAGACTAACTCTTACTACGCTTACAAGGCACCAACGTCATCAACAGCTAGGGCTCTGATTTTAACCCTGTTATTAACTTCTTTGTCAGCCAAAGAAAATTCCACCTTCTTGCTTGTAACAGGCTTTCCCACACTCTGTCCGAAGGTTGTCACAACCACTGTTTCTTTGGTTCCGTTTAATCGAAGCTCATCTGCAAGTCCTTTTCTAATCCAAGTTTTCTCATAGCCGTCGTCAAACATGACTCATAGTCTTTTCCACGCCTGAAGCACCATCGATTCTTGCCGACATGGTTTTTACTAGCACGTCCGGATAGAAAGGCATTGCAAATGGATTTATTTGTGGGGGGGCCTCTTTTTCTGGTATTTTACTAGATTCGCGGTTTGGTTGTTAGGCATTGGTGTAATGAACGATTATGAGCTCTTCCACATACCTCCAGGGAACACTTTGGCTTAACGCGTTCGTGTGAATAGTGCCCCGCAGGGTCAAGACAGTTGAAACAGTCTAGCTCACTGCTTTCTACATCGGGCTGCTGAATGTCTTTACTTTCGTCAATTTTTCCATTAGCCAATGAAGCCCGAAGTGCGCAGATGAGTACTTTGGAGTTATTGGAGAATGAGAATGAACAGGTGTATGCTCTATGGGTGGCTGTTCCACGACTTTCACGGCTGCCCAGTCATCTAGGAACTCCAGATATTTTTGAAGCGTCGTCGTCCTCGTCGTCTTTGGTCTTAACCTTGAATTTTCAATTAACTTTTTCGGCATTTTCCTCATAAGCAATGGAATTAAAAAAGGTGAGAGAAATTCGGTTGTTGAATCTGAACACTCACAATAACACTATACTCATTCCAACGCTCGGACTAACGTCAACTCTGGACCTGTTACGACAGTGACTATACCGTACATCAGAGGCAACTCTGAAACTATCGCACGTATACTACAACCTTACAATATACGAGCTGCACACAAACCGATAACCACTTTACGACGACTACTTACTAATGCCCAGGACAAAGACAAACCAGGGACAAGATCAAATGCTGCGACTCCCATTACATTGGTGAAACTGGCAGAAACCTTAACACGCGACAGAGCCAACACAAACGAGCGACGAGATATGGTGACGAGAACAATCACATTGCTGAGCACCATTTGCTGACGAAACATCAAATACGCGATATGTATTACGTATTCTATGGACTACTATCAACGACTCACTGGTTTATTAAATCGTATTCAACACTTACCAGAACAGTACAAATGACTTATTGACGGAATCAAGCAAAACTGACTACGAGATAACGACTGGACAACTGACAATTGGACTAACAATAAACGACTGTCTAACCGTGAAAATACGCGGATCGAAAAGCACCAATGACATTACGAGTCTTCATGGTCAAAAACATCACGGCTTAACTGACAGACTACCAATAACATTGCGACTTAATTGACCAATCAGGTCAATAACCAGAGTTTACTACCATCAACGGCCGTGATACAACTCACTTTGACTCTGAAGATGACTTCCGCACAGGTTGTCGAAACATTACGAACCGCAATCGTTTATATTCGAGGTGGTGACTCGAGGCAAAATGTAAATATTGATCTATGTGGGTGGGTTTTCTGTACGCTGCTATCCTGGTCTTGGCGTTACCCCCTAAATGGACGCAAGTGTCTAAGAATGATATCTTAGAACCACCACCTCGAAGGTTGCGTCCTCTTGACGTCGAAAGAAGTAAACAAACAATTGCTCAGGGGCAGGGAACTAGAGTACAATCATGTTCAAAAGTCTTGGGACACTTTTGCATTTCTGGGGCGTTTTCTAATTCACCCATGTCCAGCCCCTCCCCTCACCCCTTACAAACAATGTTGGACGCATGAATCCAGAATTTTTTTCCGAGTTTCAACTTTGTATAGAGTGGGGGGAGAGGGAGAACTACAAGATAATTTCGACAAGGATGTACTGTTTTATGAGGGAACCCAGAAATGACAGAAAAATATGATTAGTGCAGTACTGTCACAAGGACTTTTGTCGAAGATTGTGTCTCAATTTTTTAAAAAACCCAGGATTCATGAAATTAGCTCCCACGGCATCGGACTGTATTTCCACAATTAACCACTAGTAATAATAATTCGCTGAGTGTTAGCAGAACCTTACTGAGAATGAAAATCACTCATTAGTGAAAAAGTAGGTATTTACTGATAACTTTGGTCTTAATATGATGCTTTCCAGAAGGGAAAAATGGGGCTGGGAACATAGCTTCTAAACAAATCATGGTACCCTCCCTTTTTTATTTGTTAAACGCGACCAATAGGCTGCCTACACAGAAAAATGGATCACAAAACTAGAAAATGACACAAAACGATCCTCCTCAAAATGCGCAGCCACTTTCAGCTATTCAACTCTCGCGGTAGGAATGCCAGATATGGTCGCTGTCAAAGGAGGGATTTTCAAGCAGTTTAGTCTGCGATGGGGTATAATAATCAGAGAACATTGATCTAGAAAATGCAGCATTTATAAACAATGATCAGAAGAATTGAAATGTCTACTTCATAGTTAATAAGGGATGGGATAGGAATTTCTGGTGCTTATTCTACAGGCTCAAAGTTTTAATTTCCCAGGGCCACAACTTCATTCAACAATTCCCCGAGTATCTTCCCCTCCCTGAGTATCGAATGCACCTCTCTGTATTCTGATTTGGGTAGTGGGGTAGGGACCGGTTAGTCCTTTTCTTGTGGATTTAATTAACTTTTTGAGTGGCATAAATTAACGCCGATGACGTCATACATCTCATTAAAATAGGATGCTGTTATAGTTTATTTTCAGTTGGTCTCTGCAATGATTTCAATTAAAATTTCGCGCTGGAAATGAATTCGGCTTTCGTAGGATATGAAGAATTAAGGTGGCTGAACACAGTTTTGGCAGTTTGTGAGGGTATATCATTAGCCAAATCATGACAAGGGAAAGGTTGCAGCTCACAAGCTCAAACTTGGGAAGTGAAAAATATACTGATGAAAGATTTTGATTGACAGGTAAAATGTGACGTTTTCGTAGTTTCCATGGAAACATGAACGATTGAATGCAACCTTTAAATTTTACTTTTGCTCAGTTTACTTAAAATTCGCTCATTAGGTTTTCCTATAAACTTGCACACAGCTTACTATAATTAATCATTACCATTTGAAACTTATTTGACCAAATTTTAACAGACGGGTTTTTAGATAATCAACAATATAATTATGTACTGTAATTATTAAATGTGTCACAAAATTCGTCTGTTCAACTTCCATTTTTAAGTTTTCATTATTTAAAATACGATAAAAGTAAAAATTCCGCCAACACAAAACGTTTTTTTCGAAAACACAGTGCTACTTCATTAATATCGAACCCTTTCAGGGGGATCCCATGTATGGGCCATATATAGCCTGTCAACAGGCTCTCTGTTTGGGGAAAAAATAGCAAGGAAAGGGAAAGGAAAGGGAAAGGAAAGGGGTCCCTCTCCCTAGTTCCCCGCTCGACCAAAGGCCTGTTCACAGGCTAGGCCATACAGGCTTTATAGGTATACTGGCTGAATTTGAATTCTGAGTGGAAAAACAGTAAACTGATCCTTGCGAACAGGAGATTGAGAGAGAATAAAATATGAAGAACAATCAAATGGTCTGAATGGTACTATATAAGTGTATTTGCCCAATATTTCGGTTTGCAACGCAACCTCAACGGGGCGATAAAGCCTTCTTTTACTTTTTGACATTTGGTTTGGTGGTTTCAAACCGAAAATACTTGTTTCGTCGAGAGTTGATGTCCTTAGTCCTTCTCGTTTCTCTCACTCGCTCCAAGAAGAAGAGAGGAGTGGGAAAGAGATTGGCCCAGACGTCCCTTAGTCTTTATTTTCTTTTCTTCTTTCCTTTTCTTCAGTCTTTATTTCCTCATCCCCTCACCCAAACCCGTATAGTAGTTTTGCTGCAGTGTGTGACGTAAACAACCTTTTCCCCGTCGCTCAAGGGCCCCCCAGATAGGAAGGTTTTTGCTCGAATTGCAAATTCCTTATATTAATTGCTGATGGCTGGTCTTCATTGAAGACTCAACGGTTTCTCTCTGGCAAACAGTTCATTTTGATCTTTCTGCTAATAGACTATGTAGTGGTGTCCAGCACTGTCTTTACTGTCGTGATCGACGAAGATTTAACTGTTTCTGAGCCAAAGAGCAAGGTGAAAAAGAATCACTGATACTACAAATCATGCTCACTTCCTGTTTGCGTGTGCGATTTAAGTGTAACAACTGAACGGCCCAGAATATTGAACGCTCAGGTACGTCTTTAAATCTCCCTTTGATCAAAAAACTCTAATAGTACTTTTTATACATAAACTTCATAGAAACTCTTCGAGAAAAAAACAAAGAGCGAATAACGGAGAACTTAGCTTTTAAAAGCAGAAATCTAGATGGTGATCGGTGATTCAGTCGCTTGGTAATCAGGGTAATATTTTAGCTTTAGAGAAGTGTTGATACTGGATTCGTTCTCAGCCTGTCATTATAGACGCGAAATCAGAGGAAATATTGCCTAAATTCTCTGACAACAATAACTTTTGTTGATAAATTAAGATGGATTGTTTATACTATATTATCATGGGAAACCAGACAAGGTAGCGTATAAACTTTCAGTGTCATTCCGTGTTTGATATATAGCTACGAGAAACCAAAACTTAGAGTTTGCGTGTTGCTCATGATTAAGAAGCACATTTAATCTTGCTTATGGTAGTCGAATTTATGACATCTAGCACGCACGCAAAATCGTGCTGGCTTTGCTAAGGTCAAAGACTAAAGCAGGGCTGCTTGTATTTCAGTTTGTACACAGTTCCAATTTTGTCACGACACAGTATAGACTGCTTGCAGTCCGCCTTTCTCTTAAAATCCGTCTAGTTCTTATCTAATCCAGCACGATTGCAAATTTAGGGATTGAGACGAGACGAGAATCGCGGCAAGCGGCTTCGCCGATCGCCTGCTTATATAGCAGTAACTTCGCAAAGAAAAATAAGAGACTGCTCACAGTCTAGAGAAAGGAAGGCCAAGCCCGAAAAATATGCATGAACATCGGCACTGTCGCATAACCTTCTAAATATAAGAATTTGCATGAGGAAAAAACGATGTTCTCACTATTCTGGATAGCTCTTGAGCCGGCACAAAAAACATGGCGGTTAGGGCTTCTGTTCACACGTAAGATCGAACGGAAGGAAGTTGAGCCGCACCCAACTTGAAAGTGGAGCGTGACATACCGTAAACTGCCGCTTATAAGCCCTTCCTCTTATAAGCCCCCGGTTATAGGCCCACCTACATGCAAACAAAAAAATACATCCGATTATAAGCCCATCCGGATATAAGCCTCAGTTACAGTTTTGATTTTGTTTTGAAATTTAACTGAATTCGATTTATTGCTGCCTTTGTAAGAGTAAAAAATTTAAATCATACGTCGATCAACAGTGCTGGTGCTCATTTCGAAACGTTTTTTTCGTCCGCTTATAAGCCCATCCGGATATAAGCCCCCCGGTTTATAAGCCCACCCAAAACCCCTTACGAACTTATAGAAGCCCAGGGCTTATAAGCGGTAGCTTACAGTATCGGATAGTTTTCTGTCAGGATTTTGTGCCTTACCCTTGGGTTATGTCCATTGCACAACAGCAGAAGTGAATAAGTAGGAGAGAGGACTGGAACCCACTGAGACGGAAAAAAAATACAGTTGAAACAACGGTAAATCGAACTGTGAAGGGAAACGAAAAACAGTCCGAGTTAGCGGGGAATTAGAGTTATCGCGGTAAATTTCAGTGAAGTTTTGATCAAGGGAAAGGAAATTTAGTTCGAGTTAGCGGGTAATTCGAGTTATCGAGGTGCTACTGTATTCAGGAGCCTTCAGCTGACTGGGATTTAGTACACCAAATCCTCTTTCTTAGCCAGCCGAGTATTTCTTGATCTCTAAAACGGCCCATCCTCGGAGACCCAGGGGAAGCTAGTCGGGACGATAGAATGGTCGTGGTGAAAGTTTACTATAACACCATGAACATTCTATCGTCCCGAGTAGCTTCCCCTGGGTCTCCGTGCCATGTGCGGCCTTTCATACGTTGCCTCTACTTTATTTACGAACGTATTTTTTTTTTTTGCGCGTACGCAAGTAATAATTACGCTACAGTGGAAATCCACCCTTACTCGCAGGATCCTGTAACCGTTTGCTTATTATTGACACTGTGTAATCACTGCTGTCATTAAAAAAAATATCGGGGAAGAAATGACGTAAAATTCTATCTTGTGTTGACTAGGAGTTAAAGTCATTTGTTTCCATGGCTTCTGCTACACCTGCAACTCCAACTACAAAAGAAACAACTAATTATGCCAGGTTATGCTGTGTTCTTGTCGATTTGGGAACTTGTGCCCTCAGGGATTGCTTTGATGCCATCTGCACACCACCAACTCTTCACACGATCTTGGCAGCCAGTAATCCTTCATTAAAGTCTTTGAGATCGAGAAGAATCATCAATGCGACTCAATGGGGAAAACTTTTCCCAGCCATTTCTACTTCAGTCTCGTCAAAACATTTTGACATCACTCTCCTGATGACTTTACTACGCAACATCTGCGGTCTGGCTCCTCCGGTAACCGGATGGGACGTGCTCCCCGCTGCCACAGACCTGAGCCGTGAGGCGGACATTGCACGAGTCAAATACTTCAGGAATACAGTGTACGCTCATGCCGAGCACGCTTCTATTGATGACGCGGCGTTTAACTCACACTGGAAGGAAATCCGAGACACTCTAGTACGGCTAGGAGGAGCTACATACAAGGTAAAATAGATTCAAACTCTGATATCAATATTCTGTCGGTCTTTTCCTCACGTACCACGCCTCCTCCTAATGCTTTCTTCTAATTTTTGTGTTTGTTTTTGCAGGTGTGTTGTTGTTGTTGTTTTTTATGCACAACTATTATTAATTATTATTTTACATAATTCAGTGATATATATATTCTCCGTTCTATTTCAAGGTCGCTATTGACAACTTGGAAGTTTGCTGCATGGATCCCGATATGGAGTGCCATTACAAAGAACTCCTTCATCAGTGGAAAAATGATGAAGATAACATAAAAGATGAGTTAAAAGAAATTCGCACCAACGTGAAAGAAGTTGGAACTAACATAAAAGAATTTGGCAGCGAAGTAAAAGAGATTGGTACTAACATCAAAGAATGTGACACCAGCATAAAAGAAGTTAGCAACGGTGTAAAAGAAATTGGTTCCGAAGTAAAAAACCTCACAAAGAAGCTTGATGACTTTGTAGCGTCAACTATGATTCCAGCCAGTACTGAAGGTGCGTAAATAACGCTTTTTCTTCTTAAAAGGTCTAGAAGCTAAAACTCTAACACCAAGAAAAGCGTGAAATAAAGCGTCAGAAGCTTACACATGAAAGATGTCTAAGATATAAAATTGATATTTTTCAAAATAATGTAAAACATCTAGGTCTAAGTTTCTGATTTTCCTTTTAACTTGCCGGCAATTGTTTACACTAAACAGCTTAAACTACGTTTCCCAGAGGTGGTAGTATTGAAACGTGGAATAAAGTAGTCGCCAGAATTTCGGAGTCTGAGTCTATATATATGATATAGTGGACGACACAGGTTGCACTTAACTCTCGATTTCAACATAGTTATAACTATATATGGCTACAAGTATGATCGAGGTATAGTTTCACAGCTGCGACAATGACGGTAAAAGTTGTTAGGCTTTTGTACACCCAAGTAAGGCTCCGTGAACTGCTTTACTTGGTTGCTTAGCAACTGTTAAAAAACGTTGTTTGCTGCGGTAATAATTTTAAAATGTGTGTCGTTTTTAACTTCTTTCATGTGGTTATCCTTCTTCTGAATGGGCACCCATATTCCCTTTTTTATTTTTCGGCTCAGTTGCTGGCATGGTCTGTATGGACAAGTTGAAAATGTTCGTTGGCGACAGTGCCAAGACGTTACTTGCCAGCTTTAGCACTCTAGGTGGAATTTCGTCATAACCTGTGCTTTGAGTTGGATTTTTAAGTTTAAAGAAACTTGCTTCTCTTTGAAGTTGACATTGGGAACATGAACGTGATATGAGACAACTCACGATCAACGGTGAAACAAACTTGTCTCGCCCCATATAATGGAATCCAAGACAGTCTCGGATTCTGGATTCCTTGAGTTGTACTCCGGATTCCACGAGCAAAATTCCTCCGGATTCCGGAATCTGATTTCTCTTACCTGGTTGCACTTGTCGGTCTGCAATACCCTTACGGGCTAACTCTGATATAATCTTATTTTTCAGTTTTTTTTAAGGTCTTGACAGCATTTTGGTAAAAGACGGTATAAAAATCTTCGAGGATGCATACTCCTCCAAAATGTAACGAACGTCTAAGACTTGTAGTTTACTTTCCGTTTCAGGTGTGTTAAAATGCACGTTAATCAATCAATATATTGAATTTCGTTTTTCTTAAGGTAGCAACCAAACAACGAAAAGGATAGTGGACACTTCGTCGGTGTGCAGAGAAAAATATCACGAGAATGAACTTGTGACGTTATACTGTAAAAAATGCAAAGTATGTATTTGCGACAAGTGTAGACAAACTCGCCACAATCATCACACCACTGTGGATATCTACCAAGCTGCAGAACAGCACAAAGTCGATATCGAGGATATTTTGCAAGATATGAAGAGAGAACTTGATAATTACAAGGAGCGTGCAGAAAAAACAAAGGAATCCTTGAAAGAGAGTAGAGAGAGGATAGCTACGGCACGAAATAAAGTAATGACTTCTGTTGGAGAACTCATCCGACTTTTAGAGGAACATGAGACAGCTATGATAACCAGATTAGATGTATTTGAAGAAAAAGAACAAAGAGAGCACGCAGCACAACTGGAACATTTCCAAATTTCTATGAATCAGTTGCAAAAACAGGTCGAGTGGTGCGAAGGCATCTTACTGAGAAGGAAAAGCGTTGAAATTTTGCAAGTGCATCATGTTCTTATTGCACGGTGCAGAGGTCTTTTAAATGCAGAGAAACTACACATTTATAAGCCATCGCATGTCAGATACCAGATAAATGAAGAACATGTAAAAAATGTGAGAAGCGCAGTTACTGCTGTCGGTCGAGTTGTAGTAAGTAACACAAATCCTGAGCAGTCGATGATTGAAGAAACAGGGCTGAAAAATGTGTACTTGGGAAAAGAAGCAACAATTAAGATTACGACAAAAGATTTTGATGGAAACTGGTGCTATGACGATATGGATCAGATTCATGTACAAGTACAATCTCCATCAGGAAAGGTATTGAATCATTTCATCGCCCGGGGAGTGGATGGTGCATTTCACGTCACTTACACACCAGTTTGTGTTGGACAGCACGAGGTACTGATTGCGGTAAACGGTGAGCTCCTACCCGGTAATCCATGGCGTGTTCATGTCACCTCACATCGTTATAAGTATCATTTTTCTTTTGGTTCAATTGGGGAAAGACGAGGACAGCCTGTACTTGATTGGCCCGTTTGTATTGCAATAGATGACAATTCAAAGAACGTTGCGGTGGCAGATTTGATGAATGGGGTACAGTTATTTAGTTCAGAAGGAAAGTATATGGGAGATATTAGCACCAACCAACTTAATAAACCCACATCGGTAGCATTCAGCAAGTCAAGTGAATTAATAGTTACTGCGTCTGATAAAATTTTTTGTTTCGATAAAAGCTATAAATTTGTGAAACTTGTCACCAACAAACACATTAAGACACCACACTGCCTGACAATTGCAGGCGATGGGCGTTTGATGGTGTGTGACTGGTATGACGATACAGTCAAGGTACTGTCCTCTGACGGCACACAGCTTTTACTCACAATCACTGATCCTGAACGTGAAACTCCGTGCTATGCTGTGTGCTGCCAAAATAGTTTTTTTTGCTTCGTATTATGAGGCAGGTAATGTTAAGGTTTACAGCAAGGATCGTGAGTTTCAAGCAGTATCGGCGCTCCAGACCCTGGTGAAAGGCAGCTGAAGTGTCCTGTTGGCCTTGCAATTGACAGGTTCAATAACCTAGTGGTGTGTGATCGTGATACAGCAAGGCTTATGATTTTTACCCTTGAAGGACAGTTTGTCAATTCAATTGACACTGGGCTTACTGGTCCTTGTTCTGTAGCCGTTTCAAACAATGGTCAGCTATTTGTTACTGATTTAGACAAAAGCTGTGTGCATGTTTTCCAGTGATCGACAAACAGAATTTCTAATATATATAACCGGTCATTACAAAAATCAGAGTAACAGTATAATCCTATCGTAATAAAAATAAGTATAATCAGTATAAGTATAATCAGTATAATCAATATAACAATCAGTATAATCCTATCGTAATAAAAATGAATTTGCTGTGAGGCTGATACTCTGGATTGGTTTGCGATTTCCTGACAAAAATGCCTCGTGACATGTGAATACCGTAGACTTCCGCGTGTAAGCCCTGGGATTATACATCTTCGTAAGGGGTTCTAGATTAGGGCTTATAACAGGGGCACCTAACTAGAATATAGTTCAAAACCACTTAAACATAGCATTGTCAAACGTATTTTAGTATTTAAACGGTAGATATAGGCATATTTTTATCCCATAAAAATTTTTCATCTGTTCGGATTTCCTAGCTGAAAGTCTGGTGATCCGAAAATTATAGGGATCAAAACTTACCTTTTCGAAAATTTCAGCCAGAAAAAAGGCTCCCGGAAATTCTAGGTGACCTCTTTAGGGTAAAACTTCGTTAAAAATGAGCAATTATACCATTTTTTAGATGTTTGAAAATCCTAAGAGAGGCAGGCAAGCAAGAAATTTTACAACAAATGTTCCGAAAATTCTAGATCTCAAATCGTCTTCCGAACGGATATTTTCTGAAAATTGACGTTGGGTGCCCTTGTATAACAAGGGCACCCAATGACGTTTTCCTCCTACATACATTGAAAACACTTTTTAGGCTATCCAGAGTACTTTTAGATCGATAGAATTGCGTTCTAAGCGGCGCTATAAAATTTGTATCTGTTCGGTCATGCTAGGGCAAATTGAGTCTTTTCGAAATTAAAACGGGCTTGATTATTATTTTCCCGAAAATTCAGATGCAATGTAAAGAGTTACCAAATTTAAGAATTTTTCTGATTCCTCTCTCCGTTGCATTTTTGAATCCGGAAATTTTAGGGTTTTTTTTTTTCTACGAAAAATAACTTAACCTGTTATGCGAAAAACAGTACTTAAGAAAATCGTAGGAATTTATTAGATAAGGTTTGAAAATTGCCATCTAGAAATTTTTAGCCTCCCTGCAGCTATAGAAAATTCTAGGCAATTTTTCCCCTCCAAACAGATATTTTACAGAAAATTATCGTTGGGTGCTCCTGTTTCAAATGGAGTGGCTTATATCCGAGGGGGCTTTTAACCGGAATAGAAGGAGCGCTTCGAAACAAGCTATTCTTTTCAATACATTTGGAGGCGGGAGCTTATATCCGGGGGAAGAACTTATAAACGGATGTATGTTTTTGTTTACAAGCCGATGGGCTTATAACTTTGGGGGCTAACAAGTGGGAAGGCTTACAAGCGACAGTATACGGTATGTTCACCCCTATATTGTACAGTAAATAGTTATTTACCGTACGTCTGTGGGAGTTGGGGTTCGCGTAACAGACCTCATGTGCTTGATCATTGTAGTCTTGTTGAGGTCGAGGTTTATGAGTACAGCAAGAAGTATACCATAGCACACATAGGGTAACGACATTTCCAACCTTGCCCATAGGGTGAGTCATGATAGTTTGAGTTTCTGGAAGCGGTTGGTGTTCATTTTTTAAAAAAAGCCTCGATGTTTTCCTTCCACCATCACGTTTTCATTAGTTTTCCTTCCTCGATCGACACCATCACATTTCTTTGCCGTCACCAGCGCCGCCACCACATTTCTGTTAATTTTCCTTCACCGCCCCCAAACATAGTTTCTAAATAACTGATCATTGCAGCAATTTGACTCAAGCTCAATCCGACCGAACTATAATTGAATTCGCTGTTTAGTTTCTATTGACTCTTACCCGATTTCTATCGTACGCACCTACTAAGTGAATAGTAAAAATTTCACCCCTTCTGTCTTCATAAGGAACCTTGCGATCCGACAACGGCAACGTCCATGAAAACGTCGCTGAAAAATAGACTTTGCATCATTATAAACTTTTTCGAGATTTTCCCAAGTCGCCCTGTTAGTTAAAAGAAGGGAATTTAGGTTGGAGGTGAAGAGAGGGGACCGCGCCCGAGTTCAGACAGAGATGGTAAATTTATGGCCTTACCTTTCCCGTTCTCAAGTAAACTTAAAATTTGGTCATTTCACGTCATAGTTTTGCAGGGACAGCAAAGAAATGTACAAAAAGGGTGATGCACGTGCAGAGTTGCTGTTTTGTTCATTAAACCCATTGCTTTTTTGGCGCTCTCCTCGTCGTCGCTGTCGCAGTTTCGTAAGGTCCCTATTGTACAGTCTAGACGGTCAACGAAGTCTACCGTTCTAACTGCTCAAAACAAACCCCTTCGGATGTACGTGTACATATTACAGTTTATCTGTCAGTGATTTATGCAATGACAGTAAGGATTTTTTTTTCTTTAAACATGACTTCGCGATGTTCTCACTATTTATAGAAAAACACTTCTTTCAAGCACATAATTAAATACAAACTGTGGCTTGAAAACAACAAACCCACACAGCCTTATAACATTTCTGTACTATTTGGTAAAAGAAAGAGGCCTTCATACGCTGGATCCCCTCTCTCAGTTCTTTCTCTATCTGTTTTACTCACGTGCTGCATTCATGTAGCGATCGAAACCATATGCGTCACACCTATTTGCGGAGGCTTGGCGATCAAGGTTCACTCACCGGTGTAAATTGACCTCTTTCAAAATGGCGGTCTATTAATACATTCTCTTATACTGCAAAATACAAAAGAGTTCTAGAATATACTCGGGGAATACTTCCTTATAAGAGGCTCATGGGCATGTGCCGCTGGATGGGGTCGCATTTTCACGATTGGATTGACTAATATATAGATTTAGCCAGGGCTAAAAGCGAAGCTCTCCATAATATTTATATTTTGTTCAAACAAAATATAAAATCGTGTAATGCTAAGCGGCGAAGACAAGGCCGGAGAACGGAGAAAAAACAACAATAGGTCTAATTAGCAAAAAAGCAACTTTGCACGTGCAGCACACTTTTTTGTACATTTCTTTGCCGTTGCCGTTCAGAAACCTTTTTATGGAGGAAATATCGTACGTGTTCTCGTTCACTTTTTTCTTCACTGCCGCTCATTTTCTCCTTGCATTGGTGGCCGCTAGCATTTCTCATTTTGTCACCGCCGCTACAAAATTTACATGTTGTTCTTCAAACAAAAAATGTCTCCTTTGTTTTTTTATCTCTCGCTCTAGATCTCTGTTGCCCTTTTTCTCGTTGAGGTTCGCTGGCCTGCCTCTTTTCCTTTTTTTCTCTGTCTTTCTCTGACCCTATATTCCAAATGTGTGGACATGACAATTAATCTAAGCTTAATACTTTAGAAAACACGGATACAGAAACAATTTACGCTTCTCGGTTTCGTCTTTATTGACTCTTTAGTTACCTCTGCTTTACAGACGCGGGTGGCTATGCGATTTCCCTCCCAAATAACCTCGAGTTACATTTGGGTTACCATACCTGTTGATTGAGTTATTTCACATTGGTATGCCTGTGGTGCGGACGGACGGTCGGGCGTACGGTCACGTGATTACCAAATTTTCTCGGATGGGTAGATCACCACATTTTCTTACCCATGGTGCTCCGCTGGCGCGCTTCGCGCGCCAGAGCTCCGCTATAATGTGGTCGCATTTTCAATAGAGTTACTAGAATGGGGTCGCACATTTTCAGATTTTTTGGGGGTAAGACAGTTCTTCTTATTTACGGTTACCAAACGTACCAGAATGCTTGTACTGTAGATGAAAAGTAACGTGGTCTTCATTCGATCCAAAAAATGGTTCAGTTCATAAAAATAGAAAGTGACTAAGTTGGGATCGCGAAAATTACATACTTGCCGAAACGTGACTAAGATGGGGTCTATAATTGATAATTGGCCAGAGAATAGACCATAATGGCGTAGGAGCTTTGATAGGCAAGCGGCGCATACCGACCAAAAATTAACCCAACTACCCCCAGGAGAATATCTTAATAGGCCGCCATTAAGAAAGAGGGCTATTTTTTACATTTTTTCTTAGATTTAGCAGTGCTTTTAAACTTCTCACAGGAAAACAAATGCCATTTTAAAAGCAGAACTACAATAGGTATGAAAGATGTAAAAACAATTGTCGAGAAAGAGTTTTTTTACGCTAAATGTACCCTTTAGCGGGAGTGTTCTTGTAAGCCACCACATCGGTCAAAGTAGCGCTGATAATAATTATACCACATTCGCTGTCCTCGTTGATTATTTTATTTTTCCCAACTCTTATCTCGACCTGCTTTCTGTCCAGGATAATGAAAAGACAAAATAATATGATCACTTCAGGAGCGCAGTAAACATCAGATAGTTCATCTTTTGAACGAGTAAGTAAGCAAACAATTCATCTTTACAAAGAAGGCAATCCTCCCTTGATTTCTATATCATAACATTAAAAATTTGACTCTAAGTTCTCTATCCTTTGGTCAAATGAAGTGACTTTTAAGAAATCTTCGCATGTACAAAGACGTTCTAGAATACAGCATATCATGGCTCCTATTAAACCACATGGCTGGACTCACAGTGCAGTCCAAGCCATCATTAAAATATTTTACACAGTCCGTCATCTATAAACATACAAAATTATCAAGGTTACAAACAGTGATCAAGCCACTAATTCTCTTTTTTCAAGCTATCCTGGGCCATTCACTAGATTTGTTTGTGACTCCAACTCTTTTAGAGGCGATCTGAAACACAAAATCACACTGATAAGAAACAACAAGTTACTCGCTGCAATAATTTATAACATTTCACTTAAATACATTTAAAACTCGCACAAAAGAACCAACGATTATGTAACAGACTCGGATGTTTCTTAGGTATTAAAAGTCAAACACAGGTCGAAGCTTCTAGTCAACGTATGGCTTATATAGGTTTATTCAGTGATCAGCTGCTGGTGAGGACATTAAAAAATAATTCAATAATGCTCAGGGAGAGGTTAGTGACTACAAACGCTTAACTAGAGGTCAGGTTAACAGTAATTACAAAACACGATTTTTGGATGTTTGGTAAGTGGACGCTTAATAGAGGTTAAGAGAATTCGCGTCATCTCAAAGTAGTATAGCAGGGATGTTATACACCTTTTTTGCCGAGGAATCTTGTTACTTTGCGGAGAAATACATTAACGGCGATGAAGTTGTGGCCTTTTGTCTTTACCTCATCACCGCCACAAGCGCCTTGATTTCATCGACAACATGAATCCATAAATAAACACTTTTCTTAGTTTTTATTGAACCAGTCATGGACCAAGACATTCAACGACGTAAAAATAACAAAATAACTCGTTCAACCGGTAAAACCACCGAAAATGAGATTCCAAGAATTCTAGTCAAGAGACAAAGACAAAACGCTATGACATCCTCGGCAGTGATGTATTCTTCTGCTAAGTAAACGATTTATTCGCGAAAAAGGAGCAAAACATTCCTTATATACTACTAGGCAAAGTACCCTTGGATAAGACCACCTACAAGCGATGAAAAATAGGTAATAAACGCTTCCAAAGGATTTAATGATTTACCGCGGTGCGTCTTGATCCGTTTTACTCTTCTTTGATGATCCTTGTTGTGCCTTGTCCGTAGTAAATTCCACAGGTCCATTATCCAGCTTTGAACTTGTCATTTTGGCCTCGTGAACATTATTCAGGGGCTGCATACGAAAACAACGAAAAACCCTCTGTTAGGCCTAAGTCAACACAACAAAACAACTTGGTGGTGTAAGCCAGATCGAACACAATGTACTCCACAGTGTAGTTATGTTCTTGCAAGGAAATGAAAGGTAAAAACAACCCTCTGTTGTTTGTAGCTTCAATATAATGATTGGGAGGTACACTTGCTTATAACCAAGCTGTGCTTTTGTCAGTCACAAGTAAATTCTTCGTTAACTTAGGTTCCATAGCGAGTAAGGACGCGTAATTGGCGATAATACACAAAATGGACCACACTCAACACACAACTTACCAGTACCTCACTGCCCGGAGATCCTTCTCCTCTTGTTCCTTCGTCTGTCAGTCTAAAAAGAGTTATTACAAAGTATTTAGCATCCCTTAAACGAGTTTGATTTTTCTTCTCTACAAGCTACAAGTTTCTAAGCTCACGGTGCAGGTTTATTTACAGAGTTAACAGAAATAGATAAGAAGTTTGGAGAACATGGCGTTTGGAATTAGTTAATATGCTGCAGAAAGTTGAAATTTAACTTTACACCCTACAACATTCCAAATTTTTTTCTTAAAAGACTGCAAAAAGGAGTATTACGACACAGAAGTGTAGAAGTCAGTGCCAATAAAATACAGAGGAAGAACAGAGCTGTTCTTCAGCCCATCTCACCTAGAGAAAGCTTTCTCACATTTGTCTGGAGTGGTTTCGTCATCTGAAATGTCATCATCACTATCATTTGTCGCTAAAGGTGCTGAGCTATCACTTGGTTGAGCCTCGCACCTGATGACAAAACAGAAAACAAGCTTTGTTTTTACTTTGATTTTGACCTGCTTTGCATTCTGATTGGCTAAGAAATCTGACACTACCTTCCCAACCAATGAGAATCAAAACTGAAAGCAATCGTCACTTGCGCACAGGCGTTTTCCCGCCACGTGTTTTCTGTGAGATCTGATTGGCTCATTCGATCGTCTACGCGTTCTATTGCAGTGAAACTCTGGTTCTCGAACTTGCATTTCCAAAATAACTAGCTAGGAGTGAAACGGGTAAACAAACATACTACTCTGCGGTAACTGACTTCTATCACACGAAAACATTTTTCACGAACGGATGCTTGCCTTTTTTAAGGAAACGAGGAACGGGAAGGTTAACTTTGCCATTGTCTTATTAAACTACTTAATCAGAACACGATATTACTATTTCGATATTTGAAATAACCATTCTGGCTTCCCGGTCATTTTTACCTGTACAAAGCAGCTCTGTCCAAGGCAGGGGAAGCTTCAGTCTGCTCTGTAGACTTTCCTTCATCTGTATCCCGGTTTACTCCAAGATCCTCAGCACTGGACACCAGGCCTTGTGTTCTAATAAAAAAATTCATATGCTTTCAGACGCGACTTTGCCTGGTCCCTGTAAGACATATTTCCAAGCCTTCTCGGTCAATGCACAACTCGCTTGGACCACGTGACCCAAAACGCATTGGCCGCGCGGAACAATGAGGCCTAGGGACGAGGCAAGTGGCGACTAATAGATAAACATAGTAAAATAACAGGTTGTAGAGGAAAAGAGTGTTGATTTAATTAAGTACCTTAGCTCATCTTCCTTGTTTGGGCTGGTATCTTCTTTAACAACTATAACAAATTTAAAACAGGAGAGTGCATCATTTATATATATATATATATCCAGTGCAGTTCTGTATTTCCTCAAATGATCGATCGGTCCAATTATTTACCACTCTCAAATAAGCACCCACCCCATCGGCAAAACATTTAGCTGCCCCACCCTTCCCTCATAAGTAACGATATGACGAAGTGAAGCATTTTGGGAGCTAAATCCTCATATGGGAAAAAACTGTCCCATCAGAACAAGGAGGTAGAGATAACTGGGATTGAACAACGGAGAACAAACTTTTCGCCCATATCTTATTTCTAGAGATACTTAAAGGCTCAAAATAGATTTTTTGAACCAGAGATTAAAAAACGTTCCATGCTACTTGTTCCAGGAAAAACAAGCCCATTACTCTAATGAGCGCTCATGACATTTTCTCTACACTGACAAGATCACATACCAAAAAAGAAACCAGCACACAAATCTCTCAATGACGAAACGGTGATTATACGTTTTTGTTCACTCATATTTTGAGTATTATAACACAAGTACATCAATGAGTTGAGGTATTAATATCTATGACGACAGTTAACTTACTGTACGCTGCTCCTGCCTGTGCAATAACTTGTGGTGTCTCTGTTTCCATGGCTACAGGAGAATCGCCTGCATCTTCCGATGATTCACTGAAAACAACAAAAGTCAACCACGTATAAGGTTCAAACAGCAAGTAAACAGGACCACAGTGGAGTATACTGAGTACAGATGGGGAGGGTACAACACTGAGGAGTCACAGGCTAGCTTAAAGTTATTTAAAACAAAATAACATAGCTAAGCCTGAGAGCTGGCTCTGGAAGCTCAAGTCACTACAATTCACCACAACCATGTTTAAACCTATATTGCCACAGAATTATTAGCATCTGATTTCTCCCTGTAACCAGCAGCTTAATCGAACAGGAAAGTTATGACAATTAAGGACACAATCACCAGAGATGAACTGAATTGTGTCGAAGGTCAACAACTTCTCTTTATTATTTGTAATCCCACACCCACAATGCCATCAGTGCTTGAAGTTTATTGGGGGTCTAGAGGGGGAAAGCCGTGAAAACAAGTGGATGCAGCTTATTTGGCAAGATATTTTAAGAAAGGGCCAGGTTGCACGTGACTAATAGTCATATCAAGTTCACACCTGCTTGGAGCCATTCGAATGTCTGTAAAACTGTCAAATGTGGCCCAGCCAGTATCTGCTGTCGTTGTTGGTGTATCTCCCCAGCCTACATCGGAAGCATCCATAGAAACTGCTTCATCAACGGCTACTTCACCTGGTCCAAATGCAATTGACCATGCTGGAAAGGATAATAATGGTAAAACATGTGGAGAAAATTCCAAAGAGAATAGGGTAAACCAAGTGCCAAGCGACACACTAGGAAATGAGTATTTTGGATTAATTTGGATCCTTGTACAATTGATGTTTGTGGCCTTTTGGCTTTGGACTGTCACTTCTAAACAACAGCTGAAAGAGTACAAGACATCTCTCTCACACGACATCCATAGAGACAAGAGTGATAATAGGTGGCGGTATTCACAGGCTGAGAAATATGGTGGCTGCTAAGGATGAGTTAGCCATTGTGTGTCGTATGGAGGGGAGGTTCACTAGAACTGTAGTAAGGAATCACAAAAATGTGGTTTATGTTGAAGGATTTGGGCCATTTGGGAGTGTGTGATGGTAACATAAACTTTATAATAACACACCATCAGAGGGATCAACTTCCATTTTGCTATCTGAAGCAGAGGTAGAGGCAGGTGCTTGTTTAACTGGTGATCCCTGTGGGCTGCTGCCTTCAAATCCTACATTGGGAACTTTATGCCCAGGTGACTCTAAATCATCATCACTGTCACTGCTTTCACTGTCACTTCCTGCTTCAGGGGACAGGGTACTGCAAATTGACACCAAACAACATTAAGGTGTCAAACGACCAGCAAGAAACTAATAAAAATGTCACAAACAATAAGTGGAAGGCCTGCACAGCAATGATGAAATCAGCAATTTCATATTGACAATGACAATAATAAGGTGGCACTCTGCCTTACGATCACCTCAGTAAATGACCACCTATGCATTTAGTCACCAACCTTTGTCTTGATTCAACAATGGATGAAAAAGTGAGCTCCTTTTCTTCCCACATATCCTACAGACCAAACAAAAAAATCTTATTGATTGCTATTGATTATCCTTTGTCTCTTGACTATACATCTTGAGACAAATCAAAAATGAGCATATCATAGACATAAATGTACCTAAATGAATAGTACCTTTCAATTGCATTAAACTGAAATTTTGTGTTGACGACACACTTATCCACAGCTCCTAATTTTGTATGTAACTTACTTGTATACTACCTTACTATTGAATAGCCCACATTCGATATTATCAAAATTCTGACTCTGAGGCTTTCTGGTCATTTTTCTACATTTGGTTTGGTTTTCTTTGTGCTCAAGTCTCTTTTGGGAATTGTGAGACAATGGACCCTAAAGCCTTGGAGTCATGCTTGAATTTTAATATATCGAACATGAGCCATTAAGGGCTACTTCCTCAAGAAACTCAGCTGTTGCATTAGTGGGGAAGTGAAATACAAAGACTTAATTTTGCCAACTGAGTAGATAAAGTAGAAGGGCCAACTAGGGAGATAGAGAATCGTTATACGTTTCTGGGAAACTGCCCACCTACCCCTCCCTTAAGCCAACATTAACACTTACTTCTCACTTAGGGCAAAACGTTAGCTTAGGGGAGGGACAGGTGGGCAGTTTCCCAAAAACATAATTTTATAATGATCCGAGAAATGGATGGTTTGAGTGCTAGTTCTTTGTCAGAGCATGATTTGCTCAGAGGAGGGGCTTGCCTTCACAATGTAAATAAATGTAAATGTTTGACCCCATAAGTACCCACAACCCCAGCTTGCCCCTCGATTGTATTTTTTTAGTATTAAAATGATAGGAGAGTCCAAGCACACACTTACCTCTTCATCACTCCCACTATCATCAAACTGTTGAATTTTTTCATTACAGCAAGCTTCAAAAAGGGCAGTGTTAGGCTGCAGTGTTGAAAAAACAAAGGCTGCATTTTAAGTGCCTTCACATACATGTAAAGAGCTGTTTATTGCTTCTAGATCAGTTTTCAGAGGCTTAACAATACTTCTTCTCAATACTTCTCTAATATTTCTTTGTAAAAACTAAGTAATACTCCATAAAAAAAAATACAAAGAAAAATACTCATTGAGGGTCTTGTTTTATTGTATTGACTATAATATCCCAAAATCTAAATATCACCACCAGAATCAATACAACTACAGTAGAAGATTTTGAAGTCATTCAATTGAATCACCATTTGTGCTTCAACACGTCTACAACACTGGGCTGCACCTTGCATTTTAAGCTCAATAAAGAAGTCCCAGATCAATTTGTACTATAAATTATTGACTGTAAGTAAAAGGTTTTCACAATCCAGACTCACATTATCTTCATGAGTATTTATTGAAAAACTGATATCCCCAATTCTGTCAAAAGGGCCACTGCAACAGAAAGAAATAAGGTCAATAATCCTTTAAACCTTGACACTGTTGATTATCACTGTCACAGATTACTATTACCTGTTAAAATCAAAGCTTATCAAGGTGGGGGTTTTTAACTTATCAAAATCAATCAAATTTACTCCAAAATATTGTTATTTTCTAGATGAAAATAACTTAGCGTGATCTTTTTATTGTAATGTTTTTCAACTTTGTCAGTTGTGTCTTACCTAATTGAGTCATCTGGGTCCTTAAGCTCTTCTTCATCAAGGCCAAATGTGTCCATAAATTCTGATGTTATTTGTTGCATCTGGTACCGTGAAAATGCCTTAGAAAAACAGACAAGATACATGTAAGTCCCACACCACAAAATGCTCTAAAAGTAATCACCCACAAAGAGTGTTAGGAGAACCTTATTGAGTAATCTTTTTACATGATCACCAAACAATCACCACGATCCGCTTTTAGAATGAACAGAAAAACATTCAGGACTAGGAATCCCATGTTGAGAAAAGCAAATCTGGAGGCCTTCAAAACATTTCATATCAAAGTCAACTCTAGCCTTGCGAAGACCTCATTACTTCAGACACCTAGCTACTGTACTATGCCAGGTTGGCAGCTTAAGCTCTAACCAAATTTCAGACATTTCACTACAATCAACTCCTGCTATTATGGAAATAAGACACTTTTTTAGATCATGACATCACCATTTCTCACTCTCCTGACAATGGGAATGCAAAATATACTTCAACAATAATTATTTAATATTATTACATTATTTGCCATTTTGTTGGATTTATGAATTTTTGTGCAGCAAATTCAAAATTGTATTAAATAAAAATACACATTACCCCTATAGTGCACATGTTTTCTTAAGAAATTGCTCATGCACTTTACGTTTGTGGACTCACATTATTTTAAGGACAATAACTCAAACCCCCAAGGGTGTTATAAATATCAGAGGTGAACTGTAAATTACCCCACATTTTAAACTGAATATTTCTACCTGTTGAAGTGAGCTTTCTGTGTGTAAGAATGATATTGGCTTGAAATCATCTTCATCATCTGAAGATGACTGAAAATGATGACCAACCTTGATACCAAAAAAAAAAGAAAGAAAGAACAACTAGTAAATTATGACAGCCACTAGCTACTTGTGCTTAAAACAATTTTGGAATGACAAGAAAAGCAGTGAATAGGACAATTCCATTGATGAGTAAAAAGAAAGCAAAATCTGGGTCTTCTCTAAAAATTGAAGGAAGCCCACGAGCTCAGAACTTGAAATCCAGGGTGTCCAGCATAAAAGATTGTTGTAAAAGCTAAGCGGTTCAGAACAAATTATTTAGTCCGGCTAAATTGATTGAAATTCCAGGGTGTCCAGCAAAAAGATTTTGTTGCTTACAAAAAAGAATTTATCGTTAGGTTACATGAAAAACTTCCTGGATGCTGAAGGGCAACAGTAGATTGCCAGGGGACACTGAACTTTTTTACTAATTCAATGGAAGTCCCATGAAAAAATGAACTGAAAAATCTGTTTTCTTGCATCTTTACTAGAGGAAGTCCCTAAAATGAACAAAAATCTGTTTTCTTGCATCAGTTTCAATAAAATGTAAGACAGCAAGCATAAAACAAGTTACATCAAGATTGTAATCTGGATGGCAAGTTATGCTTATTCTGGTTGCAAAGCAAGAACTAGCACTCATGTCAGGAAACTAGGCGTTTATGGATTGAGTGATGGTTAAGAAGATATCAATATTCAATCAATAGACATGACTCACCAATTCAGATAAATTTTGCTTGTTGACTTCTGCCAACTTGCCACTAACAAACGTATTCCACTTTTCACGAACCTTCTCTGGCAAATCTGAAAATTGCCAGAATAACAAAATTAACAATATCGGAAGGTGAACTCAAGATTTCTGAAAAATTTTCATGAGGGAAAAAGCTTTGTCCATCTGTGTTGGGCCTTCTTGATTCCTTTAAAGTTCTACAATTCTTAACTATTAACTTGATATTTCAGCACAGTTTCTTGCTTGGCAAGTAACTTTTAAGCCCACTTGCCCAGTGGGTAAGGATCTAAGCAAGTCATGGTGTAATGAAAATACTATTAACAAAGACTAGCAAGCAATGGCCTCGGGCAATTCAAGTTTTTTTTTCTTTCGGGCCCAGCTTCACTTGAACATTAACTGAACTGCCAATGCCTATGGCCCTTGACTGCAGGTTACACCTACCAGAAAATATTGTTTCAAGAGCAGCCTTGTTTTTGCCTTTCTCTTTACTGTGCACAATGCTGTTCGCCACATTTGTCAAATGACCCATGTATCCTTTACGAAGATTCTTCTGGCCTCTGCATAAATTTAACAAGATACATACTATCATTAAAGTAAATCTGCTGTAATGCTCCATGCAAACATTGTACAAGTTGTTTTTTCAATAGGCGTAGCCTGCAATATAATTCAGCATTATGATACATATTTGCTGTTCACTTCTAGAGGGTAACCTACATGTAACTGCATACATTTATTTAGTTTTTATGTATATTGTATTAAATTTTATTATTATTATTATTATTATTAAATCAGCAGTGATTTAGTGAAACAGAAACAAGCAAGTAAGAGTGTAAAAAGACAACCTTTCAGCATCATCAAAATGCCATCATCAAGACTATAATATGAAGACAAATTATGCAAATGGCTTTGAAGCGTTTCAAGTCTTATATAATTTCCACACTAACAAAAGGAAATTATTATTATTATTATCATTATTGTATATAACTTACGTGTCTGACTCTTGATCTTCCCACTCTTGAAGAATCCTTTGAATAATCTGGCAGTCTCTAAATAACTACAGAAAAAGACAACAAGAAACAACAAAATCTCTTCAGCTTTGTATTATTGTTGAAGTAAGTAAGTAAAACCTTTTTTACACAGGGTAGCCCATTCCATAGGGGCCCTGTATTTTAAAAATATATTTACATCAAAAATTTTCATGAAATATTACATTATTTTAAAAAGCTTAATAAAAATACAATAATAGAATTTAAGAACTATATTAAAAAGCCTAAAACTACAATGCAAAATCACAGTTAAAGCCTAAAATATAATAAAATATATGTCTTGCTTGGCGGCAGAACGTTTGAATGTTTTCACTCTTCACAATCTTTAAAGGGAGTTACAGTTTATTAAAAAATTTTTGTGCCAGTAAAAAGATGGAACTAAATATTCCTTAATATAGACACAGTGAGACTATCATAACCATTTTGACTTAGGCTATATTCACACTACACTGGACAGCTATTGCACCAGCAAGAAAACCATACTGGACAGGGCTTCTGTTCACAGCTACAGTGAGAGAGAGGAATTTGGCACAATTTCCGTAATGGAGCAGAGCTACGCCACACCGCACCATTCTCTAAAGTAGAGAGTCACATGTCGCAAGCCCTAGGATTTCACGGTAACGATCTTTTCCGATACTGTGTCATTACCGTGATTTTAAAATAGAGGAACCAAAAAATAGTTTCCCAGAGACATATCCTGAGGGATCAATATGATGTTCTTTAGTTATAAAGTATGTTTAACAACATGTTTCTGCACATTGAAAAAAATAAAAGTGGGTTCCCATGAATTTTCATGGAACCAAAAAATTGTTACCAATGAGTTCCCAAGATCTCTGGGCACAGAACTGAAAAACGGCTATTCATGGGATTTGAAATCCTAGGGCTTGATGTCGGATAGGTGCTCATACTATACTGGATAGTTTTTGTGTCAGCACAAAAAGGTAACTGGTATAGTGTCAACATAACCTTCGAATGACAAGGCGACCCTCAGGAACAACCTTGCAAATAAAGGCAAACTTACAACATCCACCAAAGGGGTGCATTGTTCTCCATCTTCTTCCGTTGGAGGATTATTTAAAATTGTGGTTATACACTTTTCCACTTGGGAGTGGAGAAAATTATTCCATGAATACTTAAAAAATAACTCCTGCAAGTCAAGAAGAGATTATTCAATCTGAGCTCAAAGGCTGAAAGTAACTTAACCACTCACATAGAACTGCAAATAAGACAGTGTCAAAAGACAATGTTGCACTAAACATTAATAACCATGTCCTGCAAAATCCTACTTGCAGTGACATGACTACGGAACCAAAAAAAAATTGAAAGTTAACCCTTGGGGGTTTGTTTAACTAAAATCTGGTAATCTGGTTGAAATTAACCTCCTTTCATTGCCGCCAGAAATCTGTTTATGTTTAATGTATTTCATTGCTTTTTAATAAAGTTGTTGTTGTTTGACTTTATCATCAATGAATCACATGTCTGCCAACTTTGTAGTTGGGGGTTACATTGCTGTACATTTCCAATTAGAGCCCGGGAAATTACTCTTCCTCCTTGCCCTTAATGATAGTCCTGTGCTGATAATTTTGAGCAGAGGAAAGTAGGAGAAATTATCTGGATCATGATAAGATACATGACAGAAATAAGCAGTTTATCTGAAGCCACTGTACTTGGGCTTTTTGTCCAGGCACTACCTATGGTTGCATTATCTACATTCATTTCTTGTAGGAAGACAAAACTAATTTAAAAATTCACTTGACAAAATGGATTATCTGAAGTTCAAAAAAAGACTATAATACATACCCATAAAACTCTTAAAGTCCCTAAGTTAGCTAGTTCGGCATTAATTGTATCACTGTTAGTAGCTAATACAGCAGCAATCAGTTTAGAGGCTTGAAGTCGAGCATTCCCTAGGGGAGGGTCCAAAGTGCCTATAGTCGTCAACATTGGTTTCATCTAAGGAGAAAATGAAAATGCCATGTAAGGAACATTGCATTTGTTTACTACAAGTTGCTTTAGGAGTATAGCACTGGCTAAAATAGACAAATAACCACAACAGCAGCATTGAGGGAGATTATTTTGGTTTGCAGTCAGGAGGAATGATTATCCCAACTACTCCATCTCCTCCCCCGCACCCCCGCCCCCCCCAGAAAAAAAACCTTGTGCAATGACACATTCTACTTTGCACCCATGTTATATCGAAGGGGGATGAGTTAACAACCAAAGGAGACACATACATCAAGTAGCTCACTTGCAAAACTAACCACTGTCATCTAAGAAAATTCATGAGGAGCCTAAAAGCTCTATATCCAGTCAGTGTTAGTATTAAAACACCGTATTTCCTTGAATAATAGCCAAGGGCGATTCTTATTACTTTTACACAAAAAAGGGGGAGTTAATGTGAGGGAGGCGATTATTTCAAATATTGCTCACTGGAAGTCGTGTCCTAATTTTTCTTTTGTTATCCAATTAAACCAAACAATGAACATGGGCTCTTTAAGTGTTCCAATTTGGTTCCTTGATTAATTTTTAATATGTCACGATATCCTCAGTGTCAGAGCTTGAATCATCACTGATCAGTTCCACTGGATAAAAGAAAGCAATCATGGCAAAAGTGGTGGTGGGATGATTAATCAAGGGAGGTCATTATTTTGAATATTTCTTCCATGGGGGCGATTACTGAGGTAGGCGATTAACTGAGAGAAGGCTATTATTTGAGGAAATACAGTAAACATGATTGTTCCTTACTGGTGGAGGATCTACTAATAGCTGATGAACATCTTTGAGTCTTGGGGTCAAGGCAGCTAGAGTAGCACTGACACCTGTAAGTAGGACAAAATTTGTAATGTACTCAGCAGTTTTAGGGTTCAAGGAGGATATGTATCTTATCCATCTGTAAAGGAAGTAACATCGCTTATGTTTTTGATTTGAAGACAAGTCTGATTTACACACAGCATGATTGCTTGTTCTTCGTCAAGCCTGAAGATCTATGTGCTTCATAGAAATGATGCATTTTCTTGATATGTTTCCACATGGTCATCAATGGATGACAATTACAATGGATGACAATTACAACTGAATAACAACAATGTTCGATCCATGACTCAGCACGTTAAGTTGCCCATTCAAAAATTCTAAGATGCCAACCAAACCCTTTTTAAACCAAGGCTGAAAACTGGAGGTATGGTTTATCCATGAGTGTGGCTTAAACTGTGATGGCAATGAAGACAAGTGCAAATACAATAGTAAAAGACTGACAAGGACATGGATTTCACCTCAATACGAGAAACCGAAGGTTTTAAAATGCAAACTAAGGGCATACACATCCCCCAAAAGAGGGCCTTAGCATTTTTACTTGTAAAATCTACACTGTTAGACATACACATATTTCTAGTTTTAAAAGGTAAATAATTATTTTGTTTTATCTCACCTTGTGCAAGTCTTTCAGCATCCAAGGCTGTCATGGGTTCTTCCCCCTCACCACTGAGAGAAGAAAAAAATATGTTAATTACGAAACAATGCAGCCCCTGCAATGAAATATTTCAAATACTCATTCTCAAACTCATTAATAATTCATTAAGAAAATACAAAGGAAATTAATGTTTAATGAGTGTTTGGAAATCGGATGAAACACTGCTTAGTATTTGCATCCTTAATTTCTCCTTCAAAAATGATTTTGTTTGAGAAGAAATATCAAACCCCAGTGTTTCATCACCAGATGAAACACCGAAGACAAATCAAAATTTCAAACTCTCTTCTCGGTGTTTCATCTGGTGATGAAACACTGCATCTCATGTTTGATATATTACTTCAAAATTTTTAAAGTTACTCTGTAAAAGTCATAACAATACAGCTGAATATACCATTGATAAAACAATACTGGTCATTCCCAAATTTATTTCCTCATGTACATTTTTACTGATAATAAAATTTTGATAGTGTACATGGCTTGAGTAATAATGAGTTATATTTACTGTGCCGGTATCCCAGGTTGTGGCATTACTAATAAAATGTTTTGTAACATGAGGTTTGCTCTACCTTCCTTTGCGGACTTCAAGAAGTGTTAGAAGGACAGAGATTCCATTTACTAGAGCTACATCTGGATGAAGCTGAACATCATGAAGCATGTGATCCAACAAGTCTGACACTGTCTCTCTCCTGAAAAAAACAAACAAACAAACATAATGTAGCAATTAAAGGGGATCATGAAAACCATAGTGACTCTTGATGCAATGTCGTTCCTGTCTAACATGCAATACAGGACACTTTGGGAGGAGAATCAAAGACATCATCAGTATGCATCCACTTAGGTTGAATACACAGACTTCCAGAATTGAGACACACATAGCCTGATAATGGTAAATTTCCAAACCATAATCAGCAATAAATTATAATAACAACACTATCACCATAGCTAATGGATCAAAAGAGTTAGGCATGATGTTCTAATCACAGGAAAATCAATACTTTTTAAAGATACATTGGGTGACCAACCCTTACCTGTAACAGACCATGGAATTTCTTTGCCATGAAGACAAAAATTTTATTTCAATGGGTCATGGCCTCACTAATGAGTAATGGGTAAAGGAGACAACCGTCATGATTGAAGCCGGAAAGTAACGGAAACAGATAAAATTGTTATTTCCCTTTTGAGGGACTGTAACTGGCTAACAATGTTGTGACTGTCCTCAACCTTCCTGTAAAAAACATCAAACGAGCCAACGTGGGTGTGGTAACATGAGTTTTGGCTGCCTTGTTTGTTCTTTTAAATATACTCTACTTGACAACAGCATCTCGACAATCTGTTCACTGATTGTTGAACTACACAATACAGAAGCACTCACCTTTGCACTGCATCAAGTAAAGGATCCTGGTCAGCATTTTCTTGAAGTTGTGACATATGATCTCTACTGAGTCTTATTAAATCACAAAGGCTTTGGGCAGCATTACTACTCCTCTGCAAAAGAAATATACAGCATAAATAACTGCTCACTTTGATACATATAATTATGTTGATACATATTTACTAAATACATAACCTATACACTGTCATGGTTAAAATTGGTCTCACCACTCCCATTGTAAGTGAATTGAATGTCTGTTTCTTTTTTTGCAGAAAACAAAAAATTCAGAGAGAGAAATAAGTTACAAACATGAGTATCAACGAATATACCGGTACTGATAAACTGGCAGCAATGTTTGAATCTCATAAAAGAAACTCAAAGGAATGATGTCTTGAGGACTTCAGTGCATGAGATCTCTGGCAGACCATGAGCCACACGACCATCAAGAAGCAGTTTTATATCTCTCTTTCATTAGCTGAGAATGTATCTCACCCATAATGTACAAAACCTCCCTTCTCTCTATTAGTTAGTAACATCTACAAGAAACCCATTCTTTGCTCAAGTAATGAAACTTGAGCAACAGTAATTCAGTCCAGCTAATGTACTCACATCTTCATCAATTTCAGGATCAATAAGAGAGACCAAGCTTTCCACAAGCTTCTGATTATTTAACCACTGTAAGGTGAAAGGAGACAAAAACAGTAGCTCAGATAATATTTATACATCACCTTTACAGGGTGAAATAAAAATATAAATAAGAAAATTACTTGAAAGCTGTTGCTGAAGTTTAATAGCCCTCAGGGTTCTCATTAAGTTTGAAAGTAGACGCGTAGGATGCAAAAGTAGGCAGCTTGCCAATTGAGTTTTGTAGGCAATTTCAGGTTTTCACTCTCTCACTTTACCCTATTTCCCCAAAAAGTAGACAGCTCAAACCTCCAAGTAGTTAATGAGAACCCTGAGCTCTGAGCAGTTGTGCAGGCCTACAAAGTCCGGAAATGAATGTTTGATGCCTCACTTTAAAGGAGGACATATCAAGGAAGTTTGCACTTGAAAAGAAGTACACAATATAGGTTGGCCTTTCCCACGATGGTATTTTCATGACAACTACACAGTGCAAATGAGAATAAAGTTGCCTGTAAAATGTAACTTGCCAAATAACAATGTACAGATAAACGGCAGCAAGATTTATTTCAAAACTAGTGATACAGGTAATATACTTTTGATGTGTAGTAACAGGGTCACCACATGAAATCTACAGTAAACATATTTTGAATTAAGTAGATGGTCAACATTTTAATTCACAATGTAGTTTAACAATACTTATTTCTGTAATCTTTGCAGGTCCAACAAATAACACTTGAAAATAATACTGTGTGAATTCAATATTATAAACCACGGAACATAATATTATTATTTTTTTTGTGGTTCAATTTCATTCTAGGTTGAAATTTTCTTTTCTTTTGTTTTAGGGTATGGTAATGTATGATAATGATTTTTAAACCAAAGAAAATAAAATTTAACCAAGGATAAATTGAACGACAACATTTACATGCACAAAAAACATTGAAGTTCAAATAAGGATGCATTGAAAATGATTGTATTCCAGAAAAGAAAACATGAAAGGCAGTAGATTCATTGTGCTGCTTATTTATTTAAAGACAATATTTTTATTGCCCAATGGCCATGGGACAAATGACTTTTCAGCATGATTGCGAGGCTAATATAGGGAACTTCTTGGCAAAAACACAAACAAACATCAGCAAATTACAGCTAAAACTCTGCAAAACAATAGAAATCAGAAAAAAAACTGCAAGATTTAAAAGCTGAAACCATATGGGTAGGCTGAAGGGATATCTAATTCAACCAATGAAACTGTGGAAGAACTGGTTGCACCGACAGTGAAGTTACAAAACAATAGAAATTGATATCGTCATCTTTGTGTAAGTCTGAGTTCAACTTCTTGTCTAGTAAAATGTGCATGTTATGTACTCATTTGTGACTGAATATGTTGATAAATAATATATTAAATGTAAATTCATTAATATTATAAACTTTACTTTTCAAGTCATCTTTGTTCAAACCAATTTAACTTACAATGCAAGGACTGTGTGTACAATGCTAAACCCCCTCCTGATACATAATTATGCACCAGGATTGTCAAGGAGTATGAATATTGTCTATTGCGAGTGTCTCAAACAGAGCAAAAACCATTGTTGTACACCCTCTAAGTTCATTGGTACTATTGGGTACCAAGGATTTTGAAGTTACAGGCCACTGGGTACTCTGTGATGCTTAAAAGGACACATGTTTAATTTATACAACAGTAAGTCTAGAGAAAAATAAGAACTGGAGAAACAAACACTGAAATCACCAGCATACCTCTAGAAGATCTTGCCGAAGCTGTGGTGATTCTACGCTGGTTATTAACCGAAGAAGTAAATCCATAACAGCTGATGTTCCAAGGTGCTTTATTATTAAATCCACAAAATCTTCTTTACTTTTTAAGTACTCCAACATCTAAACAGGTAAAAAAGGAGACTAAATTTTTGAACTCAGTGATGAGATGGTAGTGGATTTCTAGTAAGAAATAAATTACAGCAGTATCAAGGAATAGATTGTCTTTACAGCAAATTTTTGATATTTCTAAAAGGAAACTACTTGTGAACAACTGCATATATCCGGTCCTGACACAAGAGGTTTGTTGGTTTTATGGAACAGTGTACATGTAGGGATTCCATTGAGCGGGCAACTCATCCAGATTGTAGGAATGGACAAATTGTTCATCAAATTCTGAAGCTCAATCTGGATTTAAAGCTCAATCCTTTTATAAGGTAGTATTTGGGCAAAAATCCACGCAGTGTTAAAAGACTGAGGGTCTTAGATTTATCCATGCCTTTTGTTTTTTCTCTGCTTAATGAGCAAATCGAACTTTGAATTTCTAAAACTGCTTTCAAGATATATAAATCACCTCGAAAAAATGAAATCACCTATGATCAAATACATACCAAAGATGTCTTCCTGCTTATAAGAACTCCCATGACCTTGCTAAAGAAACTGAAATAAAAAATAGTATTGCCATGAAGACTCAGATAGTTACCCTTCAGGTAAAAACAAAACTTCAAATACTAACATTAAAAAAAAACAATCACCAAAATTTATTTTACCTTGCAAGCAGAGGATTGAGAGGTGGTTCCGAGGCCATAAATGACCAGATTTTGTTGAGTAGATCCTACAATGGGACAAAATGTTAAATATAAATAATTTTTAAAAAGCAGCATATACAGCAAACTCTCTCTAAGATGGACACCTTCAGGAGAGGCCCTGGCTGTCTGTCTTCGAGAGGTGTCTGGATTATAGAGGGTCGAGGTAACAACACACCACTAAAAACTTTAGCTGAACCCATTCGCAATCACTACATGTCTGTTTAACTCCTGCAAAACAGCTCAAACTAGAACATTGTAACAGGAGAGTGGAACCATTTTTTTATTCTGCAATCATAATGTTCATTACAAGCAAACATTTACGGCTTCGTGGTCTACAAGCGTAACAGATACACTCTGCAAATGGGAGAAAGACTACAAAATACTAAAAAAGTTTGCAATTTATTGTCATGTAGAGCACCTACAATTCCATTTTAAAGTATTTTTCACTGCATAAAGCTTTTCTCAAGTGTCTGTTGACGACTTCAAAAGTGTCCGTTGTTTGTGTTAGAGAGGTGTCTGTCTTATAGAGAGTATAGTTACAGTAAAATGACTGAAAAATGGCAGGGACCAACACCAGGTGTCCGCCTTATAGAGGTGTCAGAGTTGACTGTATAGACAAGCTCCTGAATTTATGTGATGGTGTGATTTTGCAGATTTGATCACAGATCACATCATATCAAAATAATATTTCATGATGATCATTTTAAGAAATTTCAGTATAATAATCTATACAGATACAGTAAGAGCTGTATGTGAGGTGTTTTCTTAGAGAAACCACACGATATCAGGGTTCATACAAAAAATTGCAACCATTTTTCAAGGACTTTTCAAGGACTTTTCAAGGACCACATTAGATTTTCAAGGACAACCTACTAGGAATATAAGTTCACAGGTTGTACAAAAATGCATATTCCCAGTATATTCTAATAAGACTTTAAGGCTTTAACTGTTTGCTTCACCAAATTCTCTTCATTTTTCAGTTCACTTGTCTTAAACTGATAGTTAATTATTGCATAAAACATGGAGCACTTTATGTAAATGACCTTTACATTCACTGAGCTACGATTTATATTCTGTCTTGGATAACCAAAAAGCATCAAAAAATTCTTTCCAGGCTACTACATTCAAAGTTGAAGAAAATTCAAGCTCTTTTCAAGGACTTGCACAGAAATTTAAGGACTTTTCAAGGAAAAATGGAATTCAAGGACTTTTCAAGGACTTCCCCTAAAATTCAAGGACTTTTCAAGACTGTGCGAACCCTGGATATGCTACATCAATGAGAAGAGACCTTTTCTACCTCAAACAAGTGCACTATGGTGGTCTGATAAGGTCTCCATAGAATTAATATTATTCATTCAAAATATTTCCCTGATTCTGATTGGCTAAAAGCACATGCATAATTCACCATAACCAGCTACTGATGACCAAATTTGGAAGAATTTTGCATTTAATAAACCGATGACATCAAAAGTGCAGCCTTCTTGCAGGTTAATGCACAGTTAACCGAGAAGACCTGGGGATGAGGTTGAGTTGTTTTAGTTGTGAAAACAAAAATGGTGGACATTTCACTCGTTTCAAGAGTAAGAACTAGGTGAAATAATGGCTAAAAACATCACGGCAAGAACAGTAAGAAGAGAACTTGAAGGGCGACATCTGCTAATTGGAGAATATTTGCAGAGCTGAACTACCCTAAATGTGCACTATCGAAGATGAACTTAACATCAATGGAGTAAGCATGTTTTAGTTATGTTTTTAAACTAGGAATTATTTTGAATGAATAATAAAATTCGGCTTTCGTATCATATGAAGAATTATGGAGATCTTGGAGGGTGCTATCCGGCCGAACACCCTCCTAGATCTCCATAATTCTTCATTAGACACTCAGCCTCATTCATTAATTATTAATTACAAATAACAAATAGCATTGTATAACACAGTATAACTAAGACAAGACCAGTACCTCATTGTTAGTTAGCTTGTCAATGATAGCATAAACATCAGCAGTAAGTACTTCACAAGCTGTATTGGGATGCCTGTAACAGACAAGAAATTCCTTTACTTTGGGGCCTTTATCTAACCATTTGAAACAAAGCTTAAAAAAAAAAGGTTCAGAGTACGAAGAACAGTCTAAAAGTTTTTTGCGTATTGGGCGATTCCAGAAAATATCCATACCATACCACGGACGGCTTTTAGGATTTCCGAAGGGGAGGGGGGGTTCACGATTATGGAATTCTGAGGGCATGGGGGGTATTTACGATTGGAAATCCGAAGGCATGGTGGAATTCCACAGGTGGGATTTCTGGAGTAGAAAGTGTAGAGTGAGTTCCTTGAAAACGCTATTGTTGTGGACTTTTGTAGTTCGTAAATAAACCACGAACGTATGACCGCGGAAGCAGAAGACAAGCGTGCATAGATCAGACACGTGTTTACGCTCATAACTTATAGAAGTGAACAGTAAAACGTGGGTTTCACATTAACCTTGATGAATTTCTTGTCACATGAAAAAAAAAACGGAATATGTATCTTACTGCTTGCAAGTTTCCTGTTACTCCCGTCCGATGAACAGTAAAAAAACTCGCACCAGTCCCTGGCTTCCAAGGAACGCCTGTCAGATTAGAACACTTTTCGTGCACACTACATGACGTATAAAAGGACGCAACACGCCTCGACGGTATATTTGACCACCGAAAGATTTTAACAGTCTGAATTTGAGCTATTTTGCTTTGTAAACGTCAAAAAAGCACAAGAAAACAAAGAGGAGTAAAATTGCCGTTAGTGGTGTTTATTTTTATTGCCAAATTTGGACCTAAAAAGGAGTTTGCACAGCCTGTCTACTAGCGGTAGGTTAGAGTCTGAAAGCTTGTCGTCTGGCGCCGCTAGATCACAGCCTTGAGGAGGCATAAATTCATGTTTGTTTGTTCATATAGGCGTTGCTAAGTTGAAAATTTACTTCCAAATAAACGGAAATTCTGAAGGGGAGGGGGGGTTCACGATTATGGAATTCTGAGGGCATGGGGGGGTAACGCATTTTGGAATTTCCGAAGGCAAGGGGGGATAAAACATGGAAGCCGTCCGTGGTTGGGTATGGATATTTTCTGGAATTGTCCATTAAGGTGGTATTCAGAAGGTACAAATGATCATTCGCAACAGAAGGTTTCCACTTGAGCATATTCTATAAAAAAAATCAGCAAGATTAAGAATGTTCAGTGATTCCAAAAGACATTTTATGGGCTTTTTTTGCTCATAATTTCCTTTTCAAATTGTCTTACATAATATTATGTAAGGACTTACAAATAAAAGGCAAATCTGACTAAGGTTTACAGTGCGTTTCACAATACTTTTGACAATCGGTTTCCAAAGTTCATTTGAAATTCCCGAGGTTTGCCATGAACTTGGCAATTTCATTACACAGTTGTTAATCAAATTGTGAAATTTGAACTAAAGTTGTAAATTTCATGCCGAACTTCGTTGGGAAGTTGCCAAGTTCATTGAGAGGGAAGCTCACGCTATTCAGTAAAACAGTTGGTTTGGTATTATTTTCAAAATGAGTCCATTCACAGTGGTAGGAAAAGTAATCCCAAGTTCTGTTAGGGAGAAAATTATTCAAAACTTGTTAAATGTTTTTTTTCAAAACTTCAACTAGAACCAGTTAGCAAAAACCTGTCAACGCAGCTTGAAAGAATGCCTTAAAATCATTAAAGCTGCCAAGTTTGACAGTGATTTGTAGTAAATTAACCAAGATATAGCTCTGCAAAGTCACTGATTTTACAGATGTTTGTAAAGTGGGTTGCAAGTTCATGCCCACCACTGTACAAATGTCAGTAATATTTGGAGACTTCGTGAGGCAATATCTTTGCACCTTATTTTAAGGAGCTCTTTTCAGCAGTGCCAATGAATGATTGGTCTTTATCAAAACTTGAAAACAAAATATGCAGGGCTGTCAACCCCCCACGACTTCAAATGTTGAGAATTGACGGGGAAGGGATGATAAAATAATGATGTCACAACGCAAACGGCACATGAGACGTCATTTGTAAAAAAAAAGGCGAGAAAAAGATATTGTTGGAATTGTAACATTTGACCTAATTAGTTTACTTCCCACCAATCACATTATTGCTTATATTACAATGGCATACCGGCGTTTGTGAGGAAACCTTCAATGTCAACAGTAAAATAGCTCAAACAACCCAAAGTATTTGAAATTTCATCGTCAGAAAGTCGAATCTACAAGAAATGACAAACTTCGCCAATTATTTGGGAGATTTCAGACTGTATTCTGGAGACAGGGAGAAATGGTTCAAAATCTGGAGTCTCCAGGATTATCCGGGACAGTTGACAGCCCTGAATGTGTGGAAGGGTCTACCTGTTGAAAGGATGCAGCAATGCAGCAGTTTATAAGAATTCACTTAGGGCTCTAGATTCAAGGTACCCCTTTAATAATAATGTAGTATAAACTCTGATTAATCACTTACTTATATTTCAGGAAGTCTTCTTTGTTCTCATCTGGGGGATCCAAGACAAGGGTCACAAGCTCTTCCAAGATCTCTGGACGAAGGAAACTGAGAACAACAGTGAAGCAAAAACTTAATTTTGAATGGCCATGATGTTGAATACTCACACCATACATATGTTAAGAACCTAGAAATGTACAAAAACCTATTTGCTTTATGGACTTGATGCTTTTTTTAAGGGCACAAAAAAGTCTTGTGCAGTTGACTGGGAAAAGTTCATTTCACTGCCAGACAAGTAATTGCCCGATAAGCAAGATCTCAGACAGGTTGCCTTGTGTAAGGAAGTAAACTAAAAAAATACATAAAACTGTCTTGGGTAAAAAATATTTGAGAGCTGCTCTTTGTAGCAGGATTAGCTTAGTCAGTAGAGAGCTTGACTACAGAGCAGGAGGTTGTGGGTTTGATTCCCGGGGCAGGACAATTTAATAAGAAATTTTGTGATGTGGAGTTTGTGCAGGTCATGAAAAATACCCCTTGACTTTGAAATAAAGTGCTTAGCAATTGGGTGACCATATGCACACTGTATTACAACTTTTTATGTACATCATTTGCTACAAATTGAGAAAAATATCATAAAGAAAATGAATGCAAAATGAATATGATGTATTTAAAAGTTTTGTAATAATGAAAAATCAACTCGTTGATAATAAAACTGGCATTTTTGTTTACATTAAAATCAACCATTTCAAGAACACTCAATAAATACAACAAATTTCAAAAGTGGATCCTTTTTAATTTTGAGAAAAAATAATATATATTTTAGGTTGAAGAATTTAGTTTTAGATACTCCAGATGAAGAAACTGAAATAGTTTTAATGTGACCTGTAATATTGCAACTGCATAACTATCACATACAATCACATATCATAAAAGTTTCCTTTATAAGTACACAGAACAAAACAAAAAGATATAAGGTGCATTTCATCTGATAAAACTGGGAAGAGTGATAAACGATATAAGATGATAAGGATTAACTTACATGTTAAAGTAATCGAGGTCGACTTGACTGTAATCTAATTTTCGAATCATTTCCTTTAAGTTTGCTATTTACAAACTGCAGTTTTTTTTGCTTCCAAAATTTACTCTAATTTCCCTTTCTCCTCCCCTGCTAGTGTTTAAGATATAAGGAGGTAAAGATTACGTTTTGTCGCGATCCAAGGCTTATTTTCGTTTCGTATAAGCTCAAGCTTACATTTCATAAAGTTTAAGCATTTCCAAGAAATTGTTGAGGATTAAAGGTGACTCTGATTTAATGACTCAGAACTCCGTAACTTGTGTATGATATCCCAACTCAATCTAACAAAACAGTACCGGCTGAAAAAATTTATCAACAAAGGCAAATATTGAGAACCAAGGATATTTCTACTTACAAATCTATCAATTTCCTATTTTGTGATTTCGTTTCTTGCAGCACGTCATCTTCGTCCAAAATTTCGCTCAAGGT